AGTCAGTACCATATCAAACCTTTGGACCATGGTAGAGTTGGAAAATTATTCTAAAAGCAGCAGAAAGCCACTGAAGTCTTAAGCATGGCAGTGACTCAGTATGATTTATAATATCACAAAATATTTCTGGTTTCTATTTGGACAATGGATTTCAGATGGACAGGCATGGAATTAGGGAGACAGGTTAAGAAACAACTGGTTGAAATGGCCAGTGGACTGATGGAATAGATAAGTGATCTTGCAGGAAAGAGCTAGAGAAATAAAGTTGAGTATCATCAGCATTTAAATTATATTTGAAGCCTTGGGACCGAGATTACTTGGGAAACAAATGCAAATGGACAAGACCCCAGATACAGGCGCGAAGCACCACAACATGTATCTACTGGGGACTTGCAGCTCTGGCCATGGTGGAGTAACAAGGGCCAGAATTAACCTCCCAGGAAACAACTAGAAAACTGGACGAAGTACATTCAGTGGTTTAGACACTGCACAACAGGCAGCACAAGACTGTCATCCCTGAGAGCAGGGAAAGAGTGAGGTAAACCCTACCACTGAACTGGCTTTCTGTCTAGAGGAAATAGCTGGACTCTGGGTGTAGCTTTGTTAGGTTGATAAGACAAAGATCAAAGTTCAGGGAGGTGAACCAGAAAGGAAAGAGTTTCATTTAAAAAAAAAAAACAAACTGCAGACATTTGCAAGGTAGTTTTCTTGACTCTTTGATAAGGATAGGCCAATGTATGCTGAATGAAACTCCCAAAGCCAGGCAGAAACAAGCAGGTAGTTGCAGCTGAAAACTACTCAGAGCTTGTGCAGGCCGAGCAGATGATGAAACCGACCGACTAAGAGAGAGGTTTCCTCAGCGATCACCTGGGCCGTGCTGTGGAGGCCCCAGGTGGTCACACCTTGGTAATACGTTGAACTAGCTCTAGAATAAAGACAACCTTAATTTTATACCTGGTCCTAGCAAAGGTTAAAAACAAAATTTTAAAGTAAAAAATGGGGCCTCTACTGCCATCTCTGCTACCAGCACAACCTCTATCACTGTCTCCTCGAGGCTCTCCTCCTCCTCCTCCGCCCCCCACACAACCCAGGCCCTCTGTCCTGAAGCAGCAGCTGTGCCACCTCCCTCGCTGGCCCTCAGTGCAGCCAAGGTGACAGGACAGCCACAGGCATGACAGGGGCGGCAGGAGCACTGGCCCTATCAACCTGGCCTTGCCACCTCCTGGTGACCTGCAGCTCAGGAGGTGGGTCCTGTTGGACAGCTTCCACCAGGACTGCCTGGTTGATGTGTACACCCTGCCAGCTTACTAAAACCTTAGGCAGAAAGTGGAAAATTTTGTGTTGACAGATCTAGACAAGCAGGAATGGAATCCTGCAATGAACAAAAACCACTCACGAAATGATCTGAGGCACAGTGTGGTTCAGTCGGGGATGTTGGACGCTGGAGGAGACCGGATTGTGTTTCAGGTGGTGGATCTAAAACTAAACCACATCTTCAGGCTAGACACAGAAGGAGCAATTCATGAGTTCATGGCTGCCCAGAGAAAAGTAGCTGTACCAGCACCCCCTCCAGAGCCCGGAGGCAGGACCCTGCAGCTCCATCCCAGGATGCTCCTAAGAATATGCCTGACACTTTTTGAAAGTGCCATTTGTTAAAAATTCATGGTGAAGAAATGGATTTGGTTACATAAGATTATAACAGCAGAATGAAGGTAAGTCACGGCTGCCATTGCTTTCAAGATTTCGGCCTTGACTGTGGGCAGTGTCCAGACTGAATGAGAGCAAGCTTGGCAGTGGACAAGTTGACTGGGCTGTCCTCTCACTGTGCTGCCAGGGTATGGCACCAGTAGACACTACAGAGACAGAAATACTACAGCAACCCCAGGGTTGTCCTGAAACAGATGTTTATACTTGAGCATGGAGCCTGAGCGTGGACTTTAGGGTTTGTGTCCTGAAATAAACAAAACCTACAGTGCAAGAACATAACCAGGCCGAAAATAATTCCAAAGAACAAGGACAGTATAGGTTAGCTGGGAGGAGGCATTTGACAATACTTATTTGACATTGTTTCTCAGAGGTGCAAACTAGAATGTGTTCATACAAACCACTAGCATCAGATAGCTTTAAAGCTGTTGTGACCTTCTTGTACATGCATCTTCTAGCTAGTGTCCTTTCCCTCTTACAACGGTAAAAGGTGACAAAACATAGAACTCTACAATCTATGAAGAAGCTCAGGCTTTAGGTGTAAGGAAAAACAGCTGCAGGCTCTCTGCCCAGGACTTTATCCTGCCGGCGATGGCTGTGAGTCTTGTGTATATTTATTTTATTCTCATGTTTGTGTTTTTTAGAAAAGTGAATGGTCAATAAATGGCTTAAGTTTTATAATAAAATCACTTGATACTCTTCTGAAGCTTCAACTAAAAAATGTTTTTAGAAAGTATAAAATGGATCCACAAGTAACTTGCCTGTCTCAGTACAGCCCTATAATCTTTAAAGGAAGACAACAAAAATCAGATACCCAGCAAATGCAATATTCATGAGGTCCAGCTTTGAATAAGAAATTATAAAACATGTCAGTAAGTAGGGAAATATGACTCATAACCAGTAGAAAAATCAGGCAATTGAAACAGATACAGCAATGATGGAAGCAGCAGATATGGATATTAAGAAAGCTATTTTATCTGAGTAAGGAAAGACATGAATATAATGAGAGAAATGGAAGATAGAAAAAAAATCTTCTACAGACAAAACATCCAATACTGAAATAAAAGTTTCACTGAATGGGATTAATAGTACAATACTGCAGGAAAAAAGATGAGTAAACTTGTGTACATATTAGTGGAATCTATCCACAATGAAACAGAGAGAAAAAAGACTGAAAACAAAAAGAACATAAACTCAGTGACCTGTGGAACAATATCAAGCAGTCTAATATATACGTAATTGGAGTTCCAGAAAGGGGAGTAGGGACAGACAGAAAACAAATATTTAATAAAATAACAGCCAAAATTTTTCCAAATTTGGTGAAAACTATAAATCTGTATGTTCAAGAAGATCAACCCCAGGTAGGATAAGCATGTACCTATACACACATACCCAAAAAGCTTACCAAAGTGTTTCATAATCAAATTGCCAGAAACCAGTGATAAAAGGAAAATTTTAAAAGAAGCCAGAGAAAAAGACATATTACATAGTGTAGTGTTTTTTCTTGCCCATTCCCTCAGAGTTATCTACATGGAATCTGCATTGCTGCTTCCAGTTTGCTGTGCTTACTTCCAAAGCAAGCATTTTTGTAGAACTCCTAAAGTTGCACTAAGGTAAGGTCATAAAAGGATATGAAATAATCAAATGTATCATGCAAAGAAAATTAGCTATAGATGGCAATAAGATATTAAGAAGCCCTAGGTGAAAGATAGCTATATACCTTTCCTACAAAAGAAAGTTCATGAATTATATGACAGTCCTTGTCTGTCTCATAATAGGCTTTTGTCTATAACTCTGAAGATCATAAATTTGTTTTGGTAGTTCATATCTTCAAAAATCTAACTATTATCAGATAAAGGAGGGAATTTAATTATCTCTGAATTTAAGACAAGCCTAGGAAAATACTCCAGAAAATACTCTGGAAAAGTATTTAATATATCCTGTTGGAAAAGTAAATTGAAAGTCAAAATGATGTATTTAAAAAATAGTCAAGTACTAAAAACTTCAGGCAATTCTTTCATATACAGGCTTAAATAATGTCCAACCTCCATGGTAAACATAGATATACAAGTTTAAACAAATCAATACCATTACTCATTTATTAAATAGACAATTTTTAAGTAAATAATAGTAGGTGCTATTAAGGGTATGGAGAAATGGAATGCTTTCTCGCTACCGACAGCACTATAAACTGCTTCTTAAAAGGAAATCAGGCAATATACGATATAATCTCTTGAATTCCACGTACAGAAATTTACTTTATGGAAATAATTGTGGATATGTACAAAGATAGAGGTATAGGTAGTTACATTAACAAAAATTAAAACCAAAGGCATGGTGGTGCATGCCTGTAGTCCTGGCTACTCAGGAGGCTGAGGCAGGAGGATTTCTTGAGCCCAGGAATTTGAGGCTGAGCTATGAGCATGCCACTACACTCCAGTCTGAGTGACTGAGTGAAACCCTGTCTCTTCAAATAAAGCATTTAAAAAATAACCCCTCAAGGCCCAACAATAGAAACAGATTTGTGGGAAAATTATAAGCAGCCCAGTGGAATATGTGGTTATTAAAGATGACATATAAAGATGGTAAATGACATATGACAATATGACAAAGTGCTATTTTCTTAACAGTACTATAATAATGTTATTTGTAATAATATTAAAACAGATAATAGAAAAGATTATAAAGAGTATACATAACATCTTATTTTGATAAAAAGTTATAGACATGCAAAAATTGTATATATGAAAAGTAACATAACAAATATGTGATTTCTTATTTTTACCTGTGGCTAAAATTCTTCTAGAGATAATTTTCTACATTTTATAAGGAAAAGATGGCTACATATATTTAAAAATAGCAAGTGGGAAGGAAGTCTCAAAGTGCATATGCATATCTATTACTCTGCACATATAAATTAGGCAGCACAGCACTTCTGTGTATTTAAGAGACACTGCGCTACTGAAGCTCAGTCTCACACTAAACACGGAAGTTGGTGGGTCAGAAAGGGCCTGCAGGAGGGATTTTTTTCTCAAATAAATGTAGGGCCTACAAAAAGAATCCCGAACAGGAAACCAGTGAAATAATCTTTATACCAATTGTACTCTCAATAGCAATTTCTTTTCAGTATCTCACAAAAAAAGATAAACGTTTTTTGTTTTTGTTTGTCTGGATGTGCTTGTATGTATTTGTGTTTTTAAGAGATTAGAATTCAATATTATGGTTCATCAAAGAAAAGCAATCAATAATAACTGTTGCTAAATGGATAACATTTTCCATATGAGGACCATACTTGCCTTTGGGTTGTTTGCATCAAACAGTCCAGTTGAAAGTCCAATCAGTAAGGAATTCTTGTTTTTAGTTTTTGGTGGTGGATCAGAGCGAGATCGAAGTGGAAAGGACTCTTCTGATGAACACTGAATTGACTGAATTTGAGAGATTAAGTTCAAGTGTTCAGAATGAACCACTTTCTGGAAAAATGGTTCAGGCTGCTTACATTTCTCTGTATCACATGTAGAGTGCTGAGAATCATCTATTCCAGGTTCTGCGGTATAAAGGAGAGATTGTGCGGTAAGTGCATATAGTATTGAAACAAAGTTCTAAATGATGTTGATAAGGTATAGTATTTAATACAAATTCTAGGAAAAACCCCACATCTATCAGGAAAACAATATCAAAATATGTGAGTACATCACCTCATAAATAATCTTTAACAGGATATAATATTTTCTTTGGAGAAAGTTGATTTAACTTGTTATATACTTCTATTAGACTGAAAATTCTAAAATATAGGCACAAATCTAAGGAATTGTGAAAAAATACACTGTTTAGATAACATATTTAGTTCTAATTTATCTTTGTTCTTATAAGTTAGATAGAAAAATTACATTTCTTATATTTTAACTAATACTTTCTAAAAAAAATAAGACAACTTATTTAATGGCCTTAGTACACGGGGTTAGTTTTGGCACGTGGTTCTTTTCATTTTCAATACTCAATAAAGTAACTGACAAAGAAGTTTACTGTCATGTGGCCACACAATCCAGGCTTACGAACACAGTCCAGCGCTCTATACCGATGACATTTTTAAAATGACTAAGATGACTGATAAGGAATGCTCTCTATTCATGAATACACGTTACTCAAACAAAACAGGTTGGTGTTAACAATCTTTCACAAAGTAATTAGACTAATGCAATGATGCTCACCTATACGAACTTCACTAAGTTGGTCCACATTCTTCACGATTCCATCTTCAGAAATTTCATTTTGCTGAATGGTGACCCTATCTTCCAACCTGCCACAGATGGGTACACCAGTTAAAAAAAAGAAAGTTTACCAGAAATAAAAGCACTCTAAAATACAGAAAATGGAATACAAGTTCACTAGCATCCTGTAATCCCTTTTCCAAGTATTTTCTTAACTTTTATGTATACTTTTTCTCATAAGCACATAGTATTTTTCACCCTGTTCAAACTATCACGAAACATTAAGCATTCGCAGCAACCAGCCTATGTTTTTAAAAACAATGGTTCTCAAAGTGCGGTCCCCCCAGACAACAGCAACACAAGAAAACTTATTAGAAAGGCAAATTCCCAGGCCCACTCTAGACCTATAAATCAGAAACATTGAGGGATAAGTCCTAGCAATTAGTTTGGAAAATTCCAAAGTGATTCTAATGCACACTAGTGTTTTAGAACCGCTTCTTTAAAGAATCAAAATGTCAGCCGGGCACGGTGGCTCATGCTTGTAATCCTAGCACTCCGGGAGTCCAAGGTGGGCGGACTGCTCGAGGTCAGGAGTTCGAAACCAACCTGAGCAAGAGCAAGATCCCATGTCTACTATAAATAGAAAGAAATTAATTGGCCGACTAATATATATAGAAAAAATTAGCCGGGCATGGTGGCTCATGCCTGTAGTCCCAGCTACTCGGGAGGCTGAGGCAGCAGGATTGCTTGAGCCCAGGAGTTTGAGGTTGCTATGAGCTCGGCTGATGCCATGGCACTCATTCTAGCCTGGGCAACAAAGCGAGGCTCTGTCTCAGAAAAAAAGAATCAAAATGCCCCCTAATAATGGAGACTACAAAACAATTATGATATATTGCAACTGTAAAAAAACGAAGCCAAGAGTTCTATAAACTGATTTTCTGATAACCAAGATATACCATTAAGTAAACAAAGTAATTTGGTCTGCCAAAATGCTGGGATTATAGACGTAAACAAAGTAATTTGGTCTGCCAAAGTGCTGGGATTACAGACGTGAGCCTGGCCAGAACTCCATAATTTTTTTCAACTTTTTGTAAACCTAAAACTGCTCACAAAAAAAAATCTATTAGTTAAAAAAAAGCAAAGCAAAATAAACAACAAAATCAATACAGCAAGAGACTAAAAATATAAAAATAAAATTAAAATGACAACTAAATTCAATCACATATATCAATAAAGGTAAACAAACTAGTTATTTAAATACAAACACTTTAGATTAAATCACAAACCACATCAAAAACACAACTAAAAGAAAATAATTCAGAAAGTCAAAAACAGAAAGATGGGCTAATGCATACTGGGCAAATACAAACAAAAAGTTAAGATGAAATTTAGGCAAAAAATGTTAAGCAAGGCTAAAATCATGGTAATTTATAATCCTATAAAGGGTAATTTGCCACAAAGATAGTATACATGTGAATATTTATGCACCAAATAACTTAGGATGAACATTCATTAGATACAGATCACTTCAAATGTAAGGAGAAAAAATGGAAACAGATTTGAATTATTAAGCATATAGAAAAATTAAAAACCTAATAGATAACTGATACATAATAAACTCTGTCAACTGAAAATACTGAACATAACTTCTTTCCATGTACCCGTGGAATAGTTTCAAAATAGTTTCAAAAATTGACCATTGTTATAGTACGAGGAAAAACTTAACAAAAAATAGAAAAATAGTATATTAACAGAAACATTTTCTGATGACAGTGTGATAAAAATATAATTTTACAGTAAAATCAGAAAAGAAAAAGGTTTTCTTCCTATAAACAAATATTGTATAAAAAAGGAAATTGTAACTGAAATCAGAGATCTAACATTAGAAAGAAAAATTAAAACAATATATATGTGATCTATGCAATATAGCTAAAGCAGCAAAGAAAAATGTGAGACTTAAACGTATTAATAATAAAAAATTAAAACAAATAAGCCAGGTGTAGTGGTGCTTGCCTGTAGTTCTAGCTACTTGGGAGGCTGAGGCAGGAGGATCACCTGAGCCTAGAAGTTTAAGGTAGCAGTGAGCTATGACAAAGCCACTGCACATTAGCCCAGGTGACAGAGTGAGACCCCATCTCAAAACAAACGAACAAAACAATAAAAACAAACATACCACATATAAAGTAGAAAAATAAGATCTAAATAAACTGAAGAAAAACACAAGGAATAAATTAATGAGTTAGGAAACAAAAACACTAAAACTAGTAAGGAAATCCAGAATTCTTTGAAAAATAAAAACAGATAAACCACTAGCTGGTCTAGTAAAAAAAAAAAAAATAGAGTGGGTATGGTGGCTCATACCTATAATTCCCAAGTACTTCAGGAGACCCAAGTGGGAGGGTCGCCTTCAGGCCAGAAAGAAGTATAAGACCATCCTGAGCAACACAGCAAGAACTGATATGCAAAAGTATTTAAAAAAAAAGGGGGGGGAGAGAAAATGTAATAAAAATTTTTCTTAAAGGGAAATAACAAATGTAGGAAATAAAAAAAATTATTTTACCCAATTTTGGGCAAATTTAAAAACTTGAATAAAATTGTTTATTTTCTAGGAAAATGTTATTCAATAAAATTGATTTCAGAAGAATTAGAATTATCAACAGAAAATTTGACAAACAAAAAGCAAAAGGTCTTATCAATGAGCATCCCCCTCCTCCCACCAAATCACAGGCCCAGATCTTTTCATAGATATATTCTATTAAACTTTAAAGACCAGATAACGCCAACATTATTTAAACAGTCTAGTGCAAAGACTGACAAACTATGGTCTGTGGGCCTCCAGCCTGTCTCCTGTTTCGTCAGTGAAGTTGTACTGGAACAGCCGCTCAGTTGTTTACGGACCATCACAGTGCAATGGCAGAGTAGCTGAAGTAGAGATCACGTGATTTGAAATGTCTTAAAATATTTGCTATCTGGCCCTTTATAGGAAACATTTGCCAACCCCTGATATAGAGCATCACAATGGAAGAAATTTTCAATTACTTTTTGGGAAGGAAGTATAACAAGAATACCAAATCCAACAGCAATTTCCTGTAATAATGAAAAGAACTACAGATGACTCTCACAAGTATTAATACAAAAATCCTAAATAAAGTAACAGCAAGAAGAAACACATTAAAGTAATAATAATACATCATGACCAAGGAGAGTTCTACTTAAGGTATACAAAATGGTTCACTATTAGGCAGTCTACTCTAATATCATTACACTAATAGGAAAGGGAAAATATTTATATGAACAGTTCCACAGAGGCTGAAGAGCCATTTGACAAAATTCATTCTTGGCTTTTTTCTAAAAATGAGCAGTAAAATATGAATAGACAGCTATCTCAGCTAAAAAGCAGTCGTAGCTTATGAGGGTTAACAACAGAATCATTTTCATTAAAGTCAAGAACAAGACAAAGATGCCCCCTACTGCCAATACTGAACATTACATAAAAGGTGCTAACCATTGCAATGAGAAACTAGTGCTAAAAAAGCTGCAAAGACATAAAGCGATAACTATTTTCATATGATATGATTGTATGACAGAAAAATGGCAAACAAAAAGGGTAATACAATTAATCCTTCAACAACATGGGGAATAGGGACGCCCAGCACGCTAGCAGTTGAAAATCTGCATAGAATGCGACTCCCCCAAAACTTAACTACTAATAGCCTACTGGTGAAGAGAAGCCATCCAGATAACATAAATGGCTGATTAACACATTTTTACATCTATTATATACTGTATTTTTACCATAAAGTACGCTACAGAAAAACACAGATGTTATTAAGAAAATCATAAGGAAGAGAAAACTCTTCCTTACTAGAAGTGGATCACCACAAAGGGCTTCCCGCTGAGTGTGCTAAGGAAGGGGAGGCCAGGCCCTGCTGTTCCCAGGGTGGAGGAGGTGGAAGGGGGCAAGAGAGGCAGGCACACCCAGTGTAGCCTGATGGAAGTGCACAGTAATTTCTGACTTTTTGTTTCTTCATTTCTCTAAAAATGTTTCTCTGCAGTACCAATCCCTCTTCCACCATGTGCTTCAGTTTCAGTGTCTGTTATCACAGAAGGGTCCATGCTATAAGAGATGTCAAAAGCAGTCTCGGATAATCAGAACCCTTCTGCCAGATTGTCAAATGTCAGCTTGCTTTCCAGCGCTGCTTCTTCTATGCCTGCTTCCTTGTCGCCTGGCACTGGTTTGGAAGCATTCATCTCCTCTGGAGTGGTGTCTGGTAGCTCTTGAATTTCTCCCAGATCCATAACTTGGAACCCTTCACTTCCATCCCCCACCTTTTTTTTGCCATATCCACCTTGCAAAAAAGTGCAAGGTTTTCATGCCTACTGGTGTAGCTACAGTGACAGCTTCGGGAATTTTCTTTTCTCTACAATGATCTTTATGCTGGGTTCATAGAATCTTGAAATGGCAGGCTCAATCTGTGAGCACATATCAAGCAATTCAGCTTGTTCTTGTAAAGTCATGACTTTTCTCTACTGGGGAGCACTGCCAGCATCAGCAGTGGCACTCTGTATAGGTCTCGCAGTGCTATTCAAGGTTTATGGTATTACACTAAACATGATGAAAAATACTCAAAACCTGTGAGTGATCATTTTTTTTTACTGCTATGCACCATTTACTGGAGAAAAAAACTGCTCACACGAAGATGATTAACCTCACACAGCGTTTTAAGCAGATACTTGCAACACTTGAGCTCACCGCAACAGCAAGAGGAGGTGGCTATGAAATTATTACAGTCCTGGTATGTACTACAGTTAGTTTTATGCAGCTGTTATTTAATACTGCATCTTTACATTTGTTTACATTCTTCCCGACTGTGAATGGTACCATGTATAGTCTGTGTTTGTGTGCCTAAGTTTTGATAAATTTTAACTTTTTATAATAGATTTGTGTATATTTTATGGTAGTAAATGATAAAATAGACTAGTGTCTATATATATGTCATGCATTCATGACATATCTTTTTCTTAATTTTTTTTATATTTCTAGGTTCTACAGTTCATCTGTAAGTTTTTTTCCAAATGGTCACAAATGTTCAAAAATTTTCCAATATATTTATTGAAAATATAGTCATATAAAGCGGACTTGAACAGTTTAAACTCACATTGTTCAAGGGACAACTGTGCATCTAGGAAAAAGCTTACCAATAAAACTGCAAAACCTAGATGAAGGAGACTCCAAAACTCCAAAACCTGCTCAAAAAGAAAGGCCTATCATGTTTTTCTTGATAGCCATGTTGATTTCCCTATGGTAATTTGTAAGTTTAACATCCCAACAAAATGCAAATTGATTTTGGGAAGGGGGAGAGGGAGCCAAATTTAATAAATTCTAAATTTCCATTAAAAAATAAATGAGCAAGAATAGCCAGGGAAACCAAAAAGAGGAACAATGAAAGTGAATTTAGTCTTAAATAATCTTAAAATAGATTTTACAATTTATTAGTTAAAAGCATGTACTATTTCACTGTAGACAGACCAATGAAATAGGGGAAAAAAGTACAAAAATGGACTCAAATGAATCTATACACCATACACCAGGATAAATTCTAAAGATTTAAGAATAAAAAAATCAAAGGCTTAAGTGTAAAATGCATTTACATTAATGTACTAGAAGATTGAAAAATCCTTTGTTAACCTTAGAAAAAACAAGAATTTTCTGAATAATTATTAAAATTCAGATGAACATGACAACAACAATAAAAAATAAACAAGAATAAACTTCAGCATGGCAAAACAAAATAAAATAAAATAAAATAAAAACACAACAGGGAAATAAATAGTTGCAGTTCACGTAATAACCAGGGCAAATATCTCTAACATTTAAAGAATTCTCAGTAATTTCTGACAGTTTAACAACCAAATTAAAAAAAAAAAAACAGTCCCAAGTTATAAACAGACTCATAACAATGCAATCGACCCAGCAATTATATTTATACTTACTGCAGATATATGCATACAAAAATCAGCTTGTGTAAAATGTTATTCATTGTACCAACATTTGTAATATCAAGTAAAAAACTCATTGAGTTGTGGTATATCCATATAGGGTAATACTAAGTAGCCATAAAATAAGAAAAAAAGAAGCCCTTTATGTATTAATGTGAAAAAATCTCCCAGATTTATTATTGAAATAAACCTTGTTTATAAAAATGAACAAGGTGGAAAAATGGTGTATGTTACACTAACGATGTTTTCAGATGTTACACTATCTGAAAGAAGAGAATGGGAGTGGCTGGGTGGGGACAGAGGTAGGCAAGACTTTCTACTGTGCATCCTCATAGACTTTGTATACTTGTTGATTTCTGAGCCATGTGAAAATCTATTAAACACTAAATTATTTTTACAGGCTTTGCAATACTAGGGTATTATATTGCAATATTAGCTTATTACAGTATTTTTTTTTTACTCTACTAGAACAAAAAACAGTATTAGTTTTTAAAAAGTATTACAAAAGGGACCTGGGTTTAAAAATGTAAGAAAAAGACACAACATACTCGGTGTCCTTTGTTTCTTTTTCTTCACTAGTCCACACGTCAGTAACAGTGCATGGCAAGCTCTCATTTCTGTTTGTTCCACTTGGCTCTTGTAGAATTTCTGTTTCCAAATCATCAGGTTCTGGGAAACATCAACATAACGAGAAACATGTCTCAAAGCAAAATTTGTTGACAGAAGATTGAATAAACTTTCTATAAATTGCCACTACTTAGTTTTAGGATAATATGTTAACTATAATAGAAAAATTTACATAGTTTATCTATAAGTCTCTAATCTTGTTATTGTGTTAAGTCTCTACTTCAGTCATTTCTGAAATGACAGACTATTCCTTTTGCCTGTAATAACAGTACTCGAAAGAAATATGGGGCCAGGCACAGTGGCTCACATCTGTAATCCAGCACTTTGGGAGGCCAAGGCAGGAGGATCGCTTGAGGGCAGGAGTTCCAGATTAGCCTAGGAAATGCAAGGACAGCCCATCTCTAAAAAAAAATTAAAATTATCCAGTTGTAGTGGTACATGCCTGCAGTCCTCACTACTTGGGAGGCTGAGGTGGGAAGGTTGCTAGAGCCCAGGAGTTTGAGGTTGCTGTGAGCTATGACTGCACCACTGTACGCCAGGCTGGGTGACAGAGCAACAATCTGTCTCTTAAAAAAATTTAAAAATACAAAATAAAAGAAATATGGTACACACTATTTTTCCCTATTATACAAAATTTTCTCTTGATTAAAATTTCAGCAATAAGTAAATTGATTTAAATAAGGTATGAACAGCAAATTGGTATTAACGGATCAACACCTAAGTGGACATGTAGGAGTAACATTTATGGAGTGTTGGGAGGGTGGGAGGAGGGAGGAGGGGATGGGTGTATACAACCACAATGAGTAAGATGTGCAACGTTTGGGGGATGGACATGCTTGAAGCTCTTACTCGAGGGGGTAGGAAGGCATGGGCAATATAAGTAACCTTAACACTTGTACCCCCATAATACGCTAAAATAAAATAAAATAAAGAAGGTATGAAAACTAGCTCAAAGAAAAAAGATATCTGTGGTTAGAAATATGAAAGAATAGACTATGTGATCACTGATTAGTAACTAAAATTTCAGTAAATGTTAATGAAATTTACTAAATTCAGTAAATTTTAGTAATTAAAATTTCATTTACTTTCATTAAAATTTTAATTACTAACATTTACTGAAATTTTAATCTTTAAAATCTGAAAACAACCAAAAAAGAAAAAAAAAGACTTGTTACCTGGACTTTTACAATGATACTGAGAACATAATCGAAGTGCACTAAATCTATTTTCTTAGGTGCTTATGTAATTAACAGTCAGGGTGCTACCCTTGTTTTCTAGCAGTGGCTCAATTTTTTTACCTGGTTGATATTTTCTGAAAGTAAACAGTGATGAGAAGAGAGCCTCTGTCTTCATTTGTTAACTCCTCTTTTTTCTTTCTAATTAAGATTATCAATACTACCTTGTTTAAGGCAGGGTAAACCATCCCCTCTTTTTTTCTGGAATCCAGACACACTTTCCTTTCCATTTTTAAAGTTTCCAATTATCTGTCCTATTTAGAAAGACAACTGATATTGTACCAATCCCTAAAGTTTTTATCCTTTACTCAAATGACTTTGATCATTCATGTAAGATAAGCACTTTTGGGGGAAAATCCTTTTTTATTTTATTTTGAAATGAATAACTGTGTTCTCTAGTACCTTAATCTATATCAGTATTGACTTATTCTTATTCTATAAACTTGGTTTGTGACTGTATTGCCTGCAAAGCCTAAAATATTTACTACTTGGCTCTTTGCGGAGAAAGCCTGCCAACCCCTGCACTAGGCCATACTGCTCCATTATATATACGTCTAATAGTTTTTTTATTTTCTTTTTAAAGGAAAAGGTATAAGATACTGTCTTAGTTCAGGCTACTATAACAGAATATCATAGACTGGTGGCTAAACAACAAGCAACAAATTTATTTCTTGCAGTCCTGGAGGCTAGCAAATCCAATATCGGGGAGCCAGCATGGTTGGTTCTAGGAAGGGTCCTCTTCCTAGTTTTTGGATAACCTTTTCCTCCTTGCATTCTCACATGGCAGAGAGTAGAGAGCTAGCTCTCTGGCTTCTTCTTACAAGGGCACTAATCCAATTTGTGAGGGCTCAGCCCCCATGACCTAATTACCCCACAAAGGCTCCCTTCCACACACTATCACACCAGGGACTAGATTTCAACATAGGAATTTTAAGGGGACACAACGCCGAGTCCCTAACAGATATTAGTAACTGTGGTTCTAACGAACAAGATGTTTAAGTGGCTGCGGTGAATTAAAGATGACCACGTGTTGCAAGGTTTCTGACACTCTCCTCACATAGAGGGGGGTGTGTTTCTCCTCTCCTTTCACGTTGGCTGGTGCAGTGACTGCCTTGAACGACCGAGTACAATGGAAGTGATGCTATGGCCGCGCCAGGCCAAGCATTTAAATGAACTGGCAGCTTCCACTTGAAAACTGAGACATCATGAAAGAAGTTTAACTATCCTGCAAAGACCACATAGCAATGCCCTGAGACCAACATGACGAGGAGGGATCCGCCTGCATCCTGCCACCATGCCAAGGCATGACGGTGAGGTCTTATACTCTTCGGATAAGCTGGCTAATGCCGAATACCACTGAGCCACACCAGTTGATATCACACAGAGCAGAAGAACCTTCCCAATTCCTGACTCACGAAAGTGGGAGATAAAATTGTTAATCTAATCTACTACTGATACATTTTAGTAGCAGTTTGTTTTGTGGCAATAAATATTAATAACTGAAACAGAATTTCATATCTGAAAGTGGGGAGCTGACAAAAAAGCCTAAAACACATGCCCTGGCTTTTGGACTGGGCAGTAGGCAGAAGTTGGAAGGACTTCAAGGATAGTATTGGTGAGAGACTGGTGAAAAAGTTACTGGAGACTGGAGAAAAGGGCATTCTTGTTATATAGTGGCAGAAAACTTGGCATCTGTAATACTAAGACAGAATATGTACTTTCATGGATTCAGTGACCTAGCTAATGAGCTATCAAAGCAGAACCTGGGAAGTGCCTGTTAGCTACTTCCAGTAGCCTCTGATGAAGAACAAGAGAGAGATAACTGAAGAAAACCATTTTAGATTATGGGCAGGGTTTAGAAGACATACAGAGGGCCCAAATAGCACCTTCTAGGCAACAAGAGCTTCTCAAAGGAATATATAGCCCCAAGACAAAGACTCAGGGCAAAAGATGAGGTCAAGGGTGTGCCCATAAGACCTATGGCACAGAAAGACTTAACGTATGCCTTACAGACTCTCTTTGCTAGACAAAATAATTTCTAAGAACTCAAGAACACTGTCTCACATCATCTTTATAGACAACTCAAGGTAGAGAAGGGCCTGCCTCAAAAAAAGTGAGTGGCTTTTGTTAAATGCATGTCAATAACATTCATACAAAACCCACAAAATTATTTAGAAATTCTGCTTGTGGAACCATTGCCATCTCAGACTGAACAGGAGAAGATACAGTAGAGTAGAGAAAAGCCCTTGAGGGCACCAACCTTTGGTACAAAGGAAGAAAGCTGCCAGTGCTACTCCTGGCTGCATTTCAGAATCGCTATAAACTAATGACTGCTATGTGTTTTCCATCTTCCTTGTTTTTGGAAAGGAGTCTCTATGCCTGTTTCACTATTGTATGTTGGGTATATGGATCACAAGTAAAGCTGACTTTTTTTTATTAACTTATTTTTACTGACAGGTCTTCAGATTGAGAGTGACTGTAGTTGAAGAACTGCAGCCCAAAAAACCCATTTGCGCACAGGCCTGATTTTGATAACATCATGTTAGAGTCTGAGCTAATGTAATGATGGGATGAAGCTTTGAGAAGGGGTGAGTGTATTTTGCATGTGGAAGGAATATAAATAATTTTTGGTCTGAGGGTAGACTATGGCAGATTAAGGATGGCTGCCAGTTCTTTAACACTCTTCCCACTGAGAGGTGGGCTCTGTCTCTCCTCCCTTTGCATCTAGGCTGGGCTGTGACTGCTTTGCCCAGTGGAAGTACGGCAGAAGGGGTACCGTGCCAGTTCTGAAATCAGCTTTTAAGAGTACAAGCAGCTTTCACCCTAGCATTTGTGAGCCCTGGGCCATCATGTAAGAAGTCAGACTATCTTGCTAGAGAAGAGTACATAAAATGACCCTGAAGCCACAGGAAGAGGGAGAGGGGCCCAGCTTAGCTTAGCACTCTAGCTATACTTGCCAAAATAGCAATGAAACCATCTTGGACCCTTTGCACGAGCCTACCTGCCAGCCAAATACCACCAAACAATCTCTGAGGCAAAGGCACGTGAATTAGGCAAATCGCATCAGCCAAGCCTTCACTTAATTCCTGAATCATAAAATCATGAGATATAATAAAGTGATTATTTTAACACTGAGTTTTGGTGACTTGTTAGGCAGCAACAACAAAAAAAGACCAGTTGCTGGGTGTGATGGCTCATGCCTGTAATCCTAGCACTCTGGGAGGCTGAGGCAGGAAGATCGCTCAAGGTCAGGAGTTTGAAACCAGCCTGAGCAAGAGGGAGACCCCGTCTCTACTAAAAATAGAAAGAAATTAATTGGACAACTAAAAATATATAGAAAAAATTAGCCAGGCATGGTGGTGCATGCCTGTAGTCCCAGCTACTTGGGAGGCTGAGGCAGAAGGATTGCTTCAGTCCAGGAATTTGAGGTTGCTGTGAGCTAGGCTGATGCCACAGCACTCTAGCTGGGGCAACAGAGTGAAACGGTCTTGGAAAAAAAAAAAAGACCAGCAATAAAAAAAAGGATAGAGGCCGGGCGCTGTGGCTCACGCCTGTAATCCTAGCACTCTGGGAGGCCGAGACGGGCGGATTGCTCAAGGTCAGGAGTTCAAAACCAGCCTGAGCGAGACCCCGTCTCTACCATAAAAATAGAAAGAAATTAATTGGCCAACTAATATATATATAAAATCAGCCGGGCATGGTGGCTTGTGCCTGTAGTCCCAGCTACTCGGGAGGCTGAGGCAGGAGGATAGCTTGAGCCCAGGAGTTTGAGGTTGCTGTGAGCTAGGCTGACGCCACGGCACTCACTCTAGCCTAGGCAAGAAAGCGAGACTCTGTCTCAAAAAAAAAAAAAAAAAGGATAGAAACATTGAACCTAACTTAAGATGAATTACCCAAACACATATACAAATTTTGATGGCTTACAAAGGCCTGTTTATAAAGCAGAAATTTAAGTATTATTAAATCAAATACAACTTGTTTTGTTCCAATAAAACATACCTTCCACATTTCCTTCTGGTTTCAGTGGTCTCTGTGGAGATATCTCCCTAAACTTTGGATTTTTTGTCTCAACAGGAGAATCAACAGTAGTTGATGGGTTTATTTCATGTGAAACACATTGTACTTTTTCTTCTCCAATAATTAAAGGCTTGTGCTTTTCCCCTACGGGAGAAATCTCTGTTAAAAAAAAAAAAAGAAAAATAGTGCTAGCTCTCAAAATGAATTGAGTTTTACTTGTAATAACATTTAGAGCAATTAATTACTGGTTAAGCTTTCTCACATACTAGAAATTAATAAATGATTAAGGTATATGAGTCGAATTTCATTTCAAATGTACCTAATTTCTAGGGTGGTTAACATGGTTTATCTTATTTTTCCTTTTGGTAAAATTAATATGTATATTAGCATACTATTTTTTAAATTATTTGCTAACTGTTTTTGTTTACATGTAGTAACTGCTAGTTATTTCTAATTGCTTGGAAACTCTCTGCACTTTTAATTGGTGCCAGGAGAGAACAGATTTACTGCAGAATATAAGTTATCTACCCCCCAGGTGACTCCCATTCATTACCTTCTAACTCATAATCTCCCCAATGCTAATTCTGTCATAACTCATTTAGATGGTTTCTATATTTATATCAATAATCTTTCTCGAACTCCTGACCTCAAGTGATCCTCCCACCTCAGCCTCCCAGAGTGCTACAATGACAGGCAGGATGCACCGTGCCCAGCCTCTGCTTACCACTTCTGTCAGTTGTGTTTTCCAATACTTCTGTCTGAAGTTGTAGTTCAGCTTCTCCAAGTATCTTTAGGACAGACTCTGTAGGGCTTTTCCCCCAGACTTTTCTTGGAGATCCACCAGGATCTAATTTAATCACCTCTCCCACTGTATGTTCTGGAAGAGAAAGGTACAAAGAAGTAATTTTCAATAACAGAACATAATAACACTGCATCGTAAGGCAGATTTATAGAAATGACTATGTGTATATTTTTCATTTTTAAGGTTGCTATATTTTCTTTTTTTTTTTTGAGACAGAGTCTCGCTTGTTGACCAGGCTAGAGTGAGTGCCGTGGCGTCAGCCTAGCTCACAGCAACCTCAAACTCCTGGGCTCAAGCAATCCTTCTGCCTCAGCCTCCCAAGTAGCTGGGACTACAGGCATGCGCCACCATGCCCGGCTAATTTTTTCTATATGTATTAGTTGGCCAATTAATTTCTTTCTATTTATAGTAGAGACGGGGTCTTGCTCTTGCTCAGGCTGGTTTTGAACTCCTGACCTCGAGCAATCCACCCGCCTCGGCCTCGCAGAGTGCTAGGATTACAGGCGTGAGCCACCGCGCCCGGCCTGATAACTTTATATTAATACAATATTTTTAATAATTTTGTGCATGAAACAAAGTTTGTGAACGCCAGGCCATCGGAATCAAAGGTATCACTATCTCAGCCATCCACATGGCAATCTGTGGCTGTTTGGCATCATCATCGATCCTAACTCTGAATTTACATGCCACCGATAAGCAATAATCAAATGTACTTATTCCTATATAAGTACTTAACAGCAAAAAGGGAAAAAAGAACGACACACCATTAACACAGTGAAAAAAGGGCATGTTCAGGGTAACTAAGCAGCACAGTAGCAGCACCACAACGCGTACCAGCTGTTAAATAGCAGGCAGCTTTAAGTCTCCACTACCATGCTGGATTTGTTATAAGGTTACTGTATACTGTATTTTACTTTATTTAGGTTAAAAGAAATACCGGACACAGTTGAGGGGCCAGTAGGGAGGAGGTAGCATTCCATTGGCTTTTTTAACTGGCTGGAAGAGTCTTCTTGCCCATGGGGAAGCTGACCGTGTTGTGTGCCTGCATTTTGACTTCAACTTAACACAGAGCATCAGGTGTAGAATTTTTCACTTACAGTGTCACATCAGCACTCAAAAAGTTTCAGATTTTGGAGCATTTTGGATTCCAGGTTCTCAGATTAGAAATGGTCAACCTGTATTATGTTTCTGTAAAATCTTTACTTGAAAGACTGGGGGAAAATTGCTAATTAAACAACAATATGGAGAATATAAAAATAGAAAAAACAAATATTTCATTTCTAGAAATTTAACACAAAAGAACAGAAAACAGATCCTCAAATAAATATGTACATGGATTAAAAAGCAGAGAAAAGTATTTCTAAGAAATTTTGTCCACTGGGGAAGGCAGCACATAGAAGCGCCCGTGCACGCGCCGCTCATAAGGAGAGGATGGAGAGTCACAGGCGAACGCCTACCTACGATGGCTCTTCTCGGAAAGAACGTACAACCCCGAGAAAGCAATGCAGGACAGTCACAGCGAAGGAGATGGTGACAGGGCAATTCATTCGGCAAGGTCAAAGGGGCATGTAGGGAAGCAACCACATTGTGGAAGGTCAGGAGGACAGAGCCCTGGGGTGCACCGCAGCCTGAGTTGTGAGGGTGCTCCCTCCACCAACCAGACCTCTGGACTCACGGTTGCTGCTTAGAGTCTGTGCCAAAACACCGCACCAGAGAGCAGGCGCAGCAGGACCTGCTGGCTGCCAGCCTGAGTTTCTGCAGCTGACGCTATCTCCGGGACTCAGCTCAGAGTAGCAGCAGCAGCCTTCACATGGCCCCCGCCAGGCCAGGGAGGGAGTGGGTAGAACGGACGCTCCTTTGTGTTATGCCCTGTGGATGGCAGCTGAGAGCCTCTGGACCCCAGCTTAGGATCTGAGCAGAGGAGGTGTCCCAGGTGCAATAGGCACCACACGGGAGGCCTTGGGCCAGTGCCTCAGTGGGGCCTTGCAGGGAGGGTGGCAGAACCCCAGCCATTTGGCAGCCCTGGCTGGCTCCTGTGGTCCCCGGCAATCCCACTGCCGGGGATCTACCCGAAGGAAAAGAAGTCATTTTTTCAAAAAGACACCTGTACTCGAATGTTTACTGCACTACAATTCACAATTGCAAAGATGTGGAATCAACCTAAGTGCCCATCGATTCATGAGTAGATTAATAAAATCTGGTATGTATTTATGTGCATATGCCTTAAGCTCCTTAAGGGGAGGGATTATGTTTTAACCACCACTATTGGCATAGAATAGGTACCCAATAAAAAATTGTTGAATAAATAAAGAAAATAAATACTATCAAGTCTTTGGGCTTTTCTCCAATGCAAGAAAGAATTCTACAAAAACAGTCAATCAAAAAAAAATGACTTAACCTTGAACTTATTCATGGACAGACTTGCTCTTTTAGAATGTAAGCTCCACAAGAACACATGTTTCTGTTTTGTTCATTGCTGTATATCCTGTGACTAGGACAATGTAAGAAAATAATAGGTTCTCAGGAACTATCATTGAACAAGAGCATCATTAGGTCAGATTTTCTTAGTATCTCTGCTAAATGCCTAGGGGATGTTTCTGAGATTTTATCAAAATTCACTACTCCGGTTCTCATCAAGAATTATTGCTAATAACAGATTAATCTAAGATGGTATAGAAAGTTAAAGTAATACAATTTAAATACATATCATTAGTTCTGTACACTTTTGTAATAAAAATCCTTGCAACTAGGATGTGGAAACAACCCAAGTGCCTATCAATTCATGAGTGGATTGTTAAAATTTGGTATATGTATACAATGGAATATTACTCAATTATAAGAAATGATGGTGATCTAGCACCTCTCATATTTTCCTGGATAGAGCTTGAGCCCATTATCCAAAGTGAGGTATCACAAGATCAGAAGAATAGGCTCCACATGTACTCGCCATCAAATTGGCACTGACTGATCAACACTATGGTGCTCACATGGTAGTGATATTCTCCAGGGATTGGGGGGTTGTGGTGGGGAGGTAAACTCACAACTAATGGACGTGGTGAGCATTGTAGAGGGGAAGGGCATGCCTCTAATCCTTGCTTGGGTGAGGCCAAGTCATAAAATGTAACCAAAATGTTTGTACCCTCATAATATCCTGAAATAAAAATAAATTAAAAAAAAAAATCCTTGCAACTAACTAACCTTCACTAGGGGAAGGAGGCGTGTCTATATTCCCAAAAGGAAAATATACAGAATTCTTGCAGCCTCTCTCAATCCTCTCCGAGCGGCCAGTCTACAAAGTTTACATGTGTGCAGGACATAAACAGGATAGTAACATTTCTGTACGTACTGTCAGTTGCAGAGAACGATGCATCCAGTGTCAACTCATCCACAGGAACCACAAGCTGACCTCCTGCCTCCCACTTCTTACGATCCGATGAAACTGAATTTCCTTTTTCATGCATTTTGGCACCTTCATGAACAATTTTCTCACAAGTATCAGAGTGACACTGCTTTCCTTTTTCATCTTCTTGAGCTTTAAGATTTTCATTTAATCTACGTAGTATTTCTCGCTTACTCTAAAACAGTTATAAAGTTATATCTTAATACGTACATGATTAAGTAAAATGATTGACAGAGAAACTTTGAAAATTATACTTACTGAAATAGCATTATTGGTCTTTTGTGTGTCTTCTGAGGTTTCCTGGGTATCAGTTAAACTACTGTCCTTTAAATACAGATAGTTATAGAGTAAGAAATAATGTTATTTTAAAAGTCTACCTTAAAAAATCTGTTAACTTTTTGCTTTTCATTAAATTGGTCCTTGTGAATTTTTTATGCCTGTAAAATGTTAACACAGCTTCCTTCATTATAAGCAATGACAAACATTTAAATACTATCGATTAATAGACAATATATAGAGGGGCCAATTCTCAATTATTTGTCATATTTTTGGATTATATTCCTCACATATTTGACTATATCCTATTCTTTGGCATTCTTTGATGTTTTTGTAATTTTAAATCAATGGCAGAAATAAAAGGAAAATTCATATACTCTCTCAGAACTAGGGAAAGTTTTGATAAAGTAATTCTAGATAGGCTGTGTTATTTTGAAACTATCTTTATGTTTCATGTATATATATTCTTGCTAAGCCATACTCGTAAACATAATTGAGAACTGACTTTCCTCCTTAAACAAAGAGAGTAATGAGCTCTGAGTCATCTGTACTACAAATAATATAAATCTTGCCTTGATTAGTATTATCAAAGCAATCTAGATCACCTGGAATTTTAAAATATATGAAAACAAGGAATTAGTAGTTATTAAAACTATGAAAGTAAAGGTACCTAGAAGCTTCAGAGTAAGTAAAAGCAATTTTCAAAGTTTTAAGCGATATTTACCAATATAACACAAAAAGAAAAACCATTTAGTTACATAACTACTCCAAATCTTTTAATATTTGAAAAAAATAAAACAAGAGTTCAGTGGTCAGTTGTAAAGTAATATGTGTAAATGAGACAAAGAACATTTTACCCAGGAAAGCAGTCAGGAATTAGCAGTCGCTACAACCAGAGAGATGGACAGCTACTTGAGATGTGAGCCTGGGTGCCAGGAAGGGAACCACACAGTGGCATCTAAAGTTGAAGTGACAACGTAGCACGTGCAAAGGTGTTATCAGAAAGAAAAAGAGAATAAACCTACTTGAAAAACAGTAGTTTCTTATATGAAGTTCTTGAGAGTGATCAAGAAACTTCTGTTTTCCTACTCAGTCTTATTTTCAAGACAAACACAAAGGCTGTAAAAAAAAATTAGTGTACCAATTTTGTCTGCAAAAGCTTAATGAAACTCAACAAACACACAGCACAGACATTGATTACCAGGACAGGAGAGAGTGAGGTTAACGTGTCATCTATTCAGGAGACATTTTCCCTTCCGTCTATTGAGTTCTAGGCAGAAACTCCATACATGAGCCCCTTCTCTTAACTCCACAGTGGTCTTCACACTGCACACACATTTGAAATACACTTCTAAATTTATACTTTGTATTTGCCCACATTTGTTTTACTGTCTGTATGGCATGATAGAGATTTGGAAGTAGAAAGTAAAAGAACTAATTGATGAATTAACTGTTAATTATACTGAGTCCTCTAACAATTGCTATGTCACAAAATCTCAAATAAATGTAAACGTGTTGGGCTTAATTCCTAGAGTTAGTTACTTCAAGGACCAAAGAGACATTATTTTTTAAAAAGTCAACATTTGTGGCCGGGCATAGTGGCTCACACCTGTAATCCTAGCACTCTGGGAGGCTGAGGCGGGCGGATTGCTCGAGGTTAGGAGTTCAAAACCAGCCTGAGCGAGACCCTGTCTCTACTAAAAACAGAAAGAAATTAATTGACCAACTGAAATATATATATACAAAAAATTAGCCGGGCATGGTGGCGTATGCCTGTAATCCCAGCTGCTTGGGAGGCTGAGGCAGCAGGATTGCTTGAGCCCAGGAGTCTGAGGTTGCTGTGAGCTAGGCTGACACCACGGCACTCACTCTAGCCTGGGCAACAAAGCGAGACACTGTCTCAAAAAAAAAAAAATAAGTCAACATTTGTTAATTATAAGGGTTATGTATAAAAATGTTTGTTGTGTTATTTTCAGTACATTTCTCTCTATATATTAATATAGATCAATATTCCTTTACAGTAAAAACGGACAATCATTTTAACATATTTTCATCTACCAGGTGGTCCTAGATATAAAACCTATGAGCAAAGATGCTCCAATATGCAGAGTAAACAAAAAACTGTTAAAAAGTAATTTTTTCCCTAGAAAAACCTAAGGAAACATTAGAAATTAATGTAACTCATTAAATTTAATTTCTTTTCAAATAATATTTTCCTTTGAAGAGTTCTAAATATTAGGAACTTACCACACCCACTTCCTTCAAAGCTGAAGTCACAGAAATAACAGATCTCGTCTGCTGCTTTGATGGAGAGCCACCTGGTTCATGCTGCCCCAAATGTGAAGAAACATCAGAACTCTTTACTCCTTTAGCCACCAACTATAAAAAAATGAATACATTGGGGATTTTATATATGCATGAAGAAATAAAATGGTAGTTACAAGTCACTGTTTATCCACTCTATACACAAGCAGTTTTTTCATTCCTTAATTATTTATGAGCAAGGCATTACCCTAGGTGATGGGGATAGAGCAGTGAATAGAGAAAAAACCCTCTGACCTAAACATAATCACATCATGTCATCCTAAAAAACTTGCTTCCACTGCATTATCCATGTTTCATAAAATAATCCTGAAAACCAAAATGTCTTTAAAAGATTCAATATTAGTCTTCTCATTTTAATTTAAATCCATTATAACATTTGGTAGGAAGAAAACATACTTATTATTCTTACTCTTCTAAAAGACATGCTTCTATAATTTCTTCAAGTTTAGGTATAATCTTCTTAAAGTTGGAGTATCAATCACCCAACATAAAAACTCTCATTATAAAAATGTCAACATACATATAGGAATAACATTTATCCGGTGTCGGGAGGGTGGGCATGGGTAATATATGTAACCTTAACATTTGTACCCCCATAATATGCTGAAATAAAAAATAAATAAATAAATAAATAAAAATGTCAACATGAATGAGAATGGAAATAGTAATGGGTAAATAAGACTGACTTCACTAAAATATTACATTAATATGTGTTTGTTTATATCTTACCATTTAGACTTCAAACAAATTAAGATTCTGAGCTTTTAATAAAAATATGAAAATGGCATCTATAGGTACGATAATAACAACATGGCAGGAAATCTACTCCCTACTTCTTTTTTTTTTTTTTTTTGAGACAGGGTCTCACTCTGTTGCCTGGGCTAGAGTGCCGTGGCATCAGTCTAGCTCACAGCAACCTCATATTCCCGGGCTCAAGCAATCCTCCTGCCTCAGCCTCCCGAGTAGCTGGGACTACTGGCATGCGCCACCATGCCTGGCTCATTTTATATATATATATATAGTTGTCCGATTAATTTCTTTCTATTTTTAGTAGAGATGGGGTCTCGCTCTTGTTCAGGCTGGTTTCGAACTCCTGACCTTGAGCATTCCTCCTGCCTCGGCCTCCCAGAGTGCTAGGATTACAGGCGTGAGCCTGGCCTACTCCCTACTTCTACTCTTCCTCAAACCAGTAAACAAGACTTTCTGGGGAGTATCCATTTCAGACACAATAAAAATTGAGCATCTTCTAACAATAAAGTAGTGATACAGTTCTAATATTTAGGCGTCTACATTTCATTTTACAATTTCAACATGCCTTCCTCACTAAGCTGAATTATTTCCAGCTTTAGATTTAAAGGAAGATGTGAGACTCTTCCTTTCTCTTGAACACTTAGAGGCCATTGTAAGGTCATTAAGCAGCCTAATTTCCTATTGTTTTTTCTCAGAGAATAGAGAGGCTCAAGGAGATGGAGAGACAGGAATTGCCAGTGGAGCAGCCAGAATGCACACATTTATTAAGTTCGCCATCTTACATGAATGCAGTCCTTGGCACTCAAAACCATCAAAATAGTAACAACAAAGAACACTGATCACAGATCACTATCACATATATAATAATAATAATGAGAAAGGTCGAAATATTGTGAAAACTACCAAAATGTGACAGAGAGACATGAAATGAGCACAGCTATTGGGAAATAGAGTCAGAAGAGTTGCCTGCTACGAACCTTCAGTGTGTACAACTGCACTGTGAAGTGCAGTACAGTGGGGTGTGCCTGCATCTACTTCATTTGAAAAGAGATGGAACATTGCTTTCACCCCATAGTCCGGCATTACCAAAAAAGAAATCTGATGTTTAAGATGTGACTATAACTTTTTAAAATATCTAGAGCTCACACAACCAAGAATCCTCACCTTGAAGGTTAATATTTGAAACTCTTTTATGATTTTTTTTATTAACGTACAGTATATATTCAAAGGTTTCATGAATTCTGAGGAAATAAAAACAAGTTCCAAAGTTGTTTTGAACAACAGTAGCATTTTTAAAACAAGTATGTTATTTCCCTAGATGATTATTTCAAAAGAAACAAATTACTTTGAATGTATTAATTCTGCCATTTTCATTTAAATTAGTAATTACTTCTGACACATATCATATTCATCAAATGTATTATACTAATTCACTTAAAGAAATTTCTTCTATTTCAATACATAAATCCAACATGATTTTTGTGAGAAAACAAATTAATAATATTTGATAAAAATTAATCATGAATTAAAGTATGTATCAAATACCTATTAAGTGCCACGCACAGTTCTAGATAATGGATATTCACAATTTTCTCTCAAAGGATTATAAACTAGAAGAGAAAGGGGAACACATAAATCAATCAGTGTGTACAGAGAAATAAAAGTAAAGAGATGTGTGCTAAATGGTCCAGGGAAGGAGGAAACAAACTAAACCCAGAGAGCGAGTGAATTGTGTGTAGCCCAGACCGGGGCTGGTAAGAACAGACTTTGAGAGCAGCCAGTGTTTGGACAGCCATTCATTGTTCAAGGAGATCACAGTATACAGCAGAAGTAGGACAGACAGTTCTACACACAAATCCCCAAACACTCACTTACTAGTAATTTTTTTCATTGTCTTTCATACTCTCTGAACTTCACATTTTTTTCTCTAAAATAGAAATCCTATACTCATTGTCTTCCTTGCTGTAGGGATTATGTGAGATAATTTACATAAAATATACAGCTGTGTACCTAATAAATGGTAGCAATTACTATTTAGTTTCTATTAAATGAGGTTATTTGGCTTAAACATCAAAAGTCTGGTTTTAGTCCCTGACAAAATGAATTAACTTGCAAGTTTTTGATCTTTAGAATGTACCTAAAACAAAAACCACCCATTTGTACATGATCATAATTTAAAATTTAGGGACTGAATAAGGAGGTTTTAGGACACAGAAGTCAACAAGAAACAGAAACCTGAAAGTCAAATACTTTACATTATAAATTCAAAGGAAACTAAGATTTAAAACAAATCAAAAAAGTAATTTAACTATATAATTAAACAGGAGATATAATATGGATTTAACCAATTTCCCCAAAGTAAGAAGAGTACCAATTTCCCTTCTTAACCTATAATAGAATGTTCATTTATGCTTACAAAGATTATCTGAAAAGTCATTTCTAAAATTATTGGGTAGATACCTATAATAGGAACATTAAGGAAACTCTTTAAAAAAGAGAAAAAAAAATCACCCATACACCCACTGCTCTAATTATACTTCATTTATCCATATTCTTAAAAAAAGTCTTTCTTATCTACATGCATACATAATTCTTATACAATCTAAACAAGGCACTGGCACAACTTTCTGAAATTGTAGACATATGGCCTAAGAAAAAAATTTTAAAAACCTATAGGGAACACTTAGCAGATTTTGTCTTTAGTTAAAGAATAGCAAATCTCACATAAGTGCATTGAAAAATCCTTTATCTTGACCTTATACTCTTAAATAAGCTGCAAAGTATATTGAATAGAGATATTTCTATATTAACTTAAATCTTAAGAGAAACCCAAAGTAACAGAAACAAAAATTTATTGATAAGAGATTATGAGCTAAACAGAGAATGAGACCAAAGACAATCAAATTCAGCACAAGATATGATTATGCTAGGATGTGATTACGATAAGAAAGGTTCCTATTGAACTGTCTTCATACTATTTCTCTTTGTACCTACAGAAGCAAATCTTTTCTTTTAATCAACAGAAGATATTGTTTGTTTGTTTATTTTTACAGATAGGGGTCTCACTCTGTCGCCCAGCCTGGAGGAACTGCATCCACAAACTTCTAGGCTGAAGCAATCTTCTCGCCTCAGCCTCCTGAGTATCTGGAACTACAGATGCATGCCACCACATCCAGTTAATTTTTTTTTTTTTTTTTTTAGAGACAGAGTCTCGCTTTGTTGCCCAGGCTAGAGTGAGTGCCATGGCGTCAGCCTAGCTCACAGCAACCTCAAACTCCTGGGCTCAAGCGATCCTCCTGCCTCAGCCTCCCGAGTAGCTGGGACTACAGGCACGCGCCACCATGCCAGGCTAATTTTTTGTATATATATTAGTTGGCCAATTAATTTGTTTCTATTTATAGTAGAGATGGGGTCTCGCTCTTGCTCAGGGTGGTTTCGAACTCCTGACCTCGAGCAATCCGCCCGCCTCGGCCTCCCAGAGTGCTAGGATTACAGGCGTGAGCCACCGCGCCCGGCCTCAGTTAATTTTTGTTTTCATTTTTTTAGAAACAAGGTTTTACTGTGTTGTTCAAACTGGATAAAAGATATTTTTAAATGAAGAAAATATTTCACCCATTACCATTAAAAATTTACATTGTATTTTACTAAAGCTGCCAGGCTGCCATCTATATATATCTGTATATCTATATATATCTATATATGTATAAGGACTATCATATAGCCTATTTTATCCAAGGTGTCTGATCCAATGTGTAAGACAAATTTATTGGCACCTTTATAATAATCTTCAGCAGTCCTCAGTAAATGCTTATGATCTATCATCAAGTGTACACAGATCTCTCCCCTAGGTCAACTAAACAGATCAGAAGAATCTAAACTAATGAAGAGACAAAATTCAGACATGAAAGATAAACCAATGAACAAAGACAAACCGATCATTCTACTAATTCTTACAATCACTTAATAACAAAACTTAGTTACTAATAATCTAAAGGTAGCTCAGGGTAACAACCGTGACGTGGCAAGATCATTATAAGCCAAGGTCATATACATCACAGATTTATTAATACAGTAGGACTTGGGCCTTCTGTGTAAACAGATACATCATGAATGTATTATTTATAAACAGAACCCAAGGCTGTTTAATGTTAACCACATCTTGAGATAGAAGATAATGTACTTTTAATTGTCAAAAGAGAAAACATTCGACTGAACTTTTAATTCAGGAAGTTGATCAAATATGACAAGACACAAAATTAACTAAACTAGAAAAATGATACAGAGTTTCACATAAGACAAAAAACATAAAACTTCAAAACAAAAATATGACCCAAGTTTATTACAAAATTAATCACACATCTAAGTCTAAAACATATATTTCATTCTAAACAGTTTTTCAAAATTCAATCACAGTTTTAAACATAAAAATTTATAACAAAAATAAAACATCCACCTGAAAATTTCATAACTCAGGTTTAAAAGAAATACTTTGGAAGATTCTTTTTTCTTAGCCATCTTCTCACAAGGTCCATAAATTCCACATTGATTGTATCTCCTCAAAAGATTTTTAAGTATCACTAAAATTGTTTCTATTTTATGTGTCAATTTTATAATGTTCTGAAAAATTAACCACCAGTGTCATCAAATGACAAATTCAAAATTTCATGAAATAATGAGGTCAGGTTTATAAACACATGAAACCATCAGTTTACCTACATTGAGGCACAGATCAATGCAAATACTATTTCATCTTACTTATTAGGAATGATTTAATGTATATCAGGAAAGTATTATTAAATGGCCTGTTTTCATATCTTGAATATAGAGTAATTTCACATACAGTTTTATATACCCTCAAGATACATCATTACCAAATTTTATCAGATTCATATTTAACTTCTCAAGTCTTTAAAGAACCACTAATATAAAAGTATTTTTATCTGAATAATTCTCAGAACTATTATTGCCATAATGCTTCTATAAGAAAAGTATTGTCTAAGAAGAAGAACAACAATTCGAGGTAGCCAGAAGGGGTAAGTTATCTACCATGGGGGAAGCCTCTCAGGCTTGTGTGGAAGGATTGAGGAATTGGTAGAAAAAGATAGAAATGAAATAGATATGAAAGAGTTCAATGCAACAAAAAAATGAACTTACATCCAAAATATTATCTCTGACCTAATCAAGACAAAATTTCCCTAATTCCATTTTTCACTGAATTTTAATTTTTAAATACATTGCTGCCCTTTTATTTTTTTTATTATTTTTTTTTTTTGTGCGTTTTGCTACAGAAGTAAATTGCTGCCCTTTTAAAAAACTGAATCTTCCTTACTCGGTTCACTCACATGCTGGCTGAGGAAGGCAATACTATATTATTTGGTGGGGAAATAAAAGAGAAAGATCTATCGTCACACATTATTCTCCATATTTAAATCTTATTTAGAATAATTTTATCATTAAATATGTCAAAGAGAATATTTTATAAAATTAGGTATACACCGCCAAAGAATCTGAATAAGGTGGTGATCTTTACCCTTTGTTAGATCCAAAATACTTTTGAGAATCCAATGAAAGATATGTGGTCTTATTGAAGAAAATGCACCAACATACCTACAAGCAAACTTCTAGTTAATATTTTAGGTGGCTTAATAATGCTAACTCCAACTGCAAATACCATGTTACCACTCCCGAGTTATAGCAATGGTCAAAAAGTAAACACAGACATGTGAGGCTCCCCATACAACATCTAGATTATGCTCTATTAGACTTTCTCCTGAAATACATACTTGGTAAAATAACTTTAACCCATTTTCTGTGGATTAAGCTGGATTTAAGTACTTACATTATGAATACTATTTTTCTAGACAGTTTAGATAGATCAACATTAGAGATCAAGCCCTTTATCTAGGAGATAAGGAAACAAAGGCCCATAAACATTAAGCAAGTCCTCAAACAGGCCAATTAATTGGAAAGGCTGAGACTGAAAATCGGGTTTTCTAATTCCTAGCCTCATTTTTTCTTCTCACTCTACCAGGATACATTCAACACACAAATGTTTATGGAACATTTCTCTATGCGTAGCTCCAAAATACTTACCCAGCCACAGAAATCCCAATGAATTTATTTATTTGTGTTACTATTCACTGGGTATGGGTACCATGCTGAGCATTTTAAATGGTAAATCAATTAAGGTTCTTTGGTGGAAAGCAATAGAAACTAACTCTGTAGGGAGGAGGGAAAGGAGGGAGAAAGAAAAATAGAGAAGAGGGAAAGGAAAGGAAAGGAGAGGGGTGATGTTAACAAAGAGGCTGATTAGAGGTGCTTAACACTTGATACCCCCACCCTTCTCTACATAAAAGGACCAAAACAATGAATTAACAACTAACTGCATTTTGGCCAGAGTGACTAAATGAGAATGCCAGAGTACTGCAAGAGAGTGGCAGAAGCTCTGTGAAGCAGAAACTCGGGATGGCCCCATACTGAAGGGAAAGAAACACCTTGCCTCTGCCACTCCGTCCCCACAGTCAGGATCCACTCCAAACCAAGAGAGACTTTTCCCTGAGTGGAAAAGATAAGCAGGAGGTCCCCATCCACCTTGGACACCTACAGTCTTTGCTACTGGAGAATTCTGCAGTCTTCAAAGGCCCTGGCCCAGCTTAAGAAGCTGTCTGGAGTTCACATGGCTGGACTACTCCAGAGGAGGAGCCCTCATTGTACACTAGCCCCATGGCTCAAGCCCCTACTGTGCTGTGCCATCTTGAAACCGAAGCCATTGCTAGAGGGTATCCTGCTCCAGAGGCCGGTAGCCACTGCACCCCTCCATCCCTGAGGCTCTGCCATAATCACACCATGCTCACACATGGCAGTACACTGTTCCCCAGCTGAGCTGCTGCAGCTTCCTATCCCTGGGAAGAAGCTGCCTCAAAGGCACTCCATCTCCCCTATCCTAGGTGCTTCTGTGCCCTGCCCCCTGGCTGCTCAGAGCCTAAGCCTAGAAAAGCAGCTGTGCCCCACTGCTCCCCAGGGACCAGGAGCCCAGCCAAGTTGGGCAGCTGTGCCCCTACGTGCCCTAGCTGACTGTGCTGCCTCACCCCTAGGGAAATGAAGCCTTGGCTGAGTTGTGCCACCCTGAACTCTGGACTAAACAGATGCAGTACCCATCTTCTTGGATATGAACTAGCCTTCTGGAATATGAGCTGCTGAGGTGCCCCACCTCTCTGAGTAGAGTCACTGCTGTGTTATTCCCCACCCACTAAAGCCCAAGCCACAGCTGTGTCCTACCATTCATGGGTCCTTGCTGCTGCTGCACCCAGAACCTGGCCCACTGCTGTGTCCCAGCACTCCAGAGTCACTGCTACAAGGTACCTCTTCTCCTGGTGTCCAAGTTGCCACTGTGCCCTATTGGCTCTGGGACATGAATTGCAGCTGTTCCTTACCCGCTGAGGCCCAAGCCTCTAGAATATCCCTTGCTCTCTGGGCGTATGCCAGTGCTGTGCAGTGACCCCCAGGATCAGAGTCTTAGCTACATCCATACTCCCTGAGCCTGACTTACCAGGGAATGCTTTAGAGTCACAGTCCCCAGCTTTGTGAGAGAGCTGCATCTACCCATGCCTCAGAGAGTGAACTTGTGCCCAAATCACCAGTGCCATAGTAATTCAGAGAAACACTGAGCCCAGGACCTGAGCATCTGTGCTCTGGAACACAATGGCACTGTGGCTGCTTGTGAGCTGTGTCAGACCCAATACCAAGAAGGATTTCCCCAACTTAGTCTACCTACTATGGAATAAACAAGAAGACCCCCCAAAGCCCTTGCCACCAAGAACTCTAACAACTTATGCTGCCACCACTGCTGCTATGAACTCCTATAGCCTAGTCCACTGAGGTACCTGTAGTCACTGCTGATATTGATTACAGCTGAAGAAGCTGCATGGAGACTACACTAATATGCCCACCTGGAATTAGACGCAATGCACCCTGCCCAACTGACACCCAAAGGACCATCTGCAGGTGAAATATTTCCCTAATAAAACAACTATATAAATTTGGAAGAGGTGACTGTTCTACCAGATACACAGTTTATCAATGAAGAGATATAAGAAACAAGAAAAAGCAACAAAACATGACAACGTCAAAGAAACACAATAATTCTTATTAACTGACCCCAAAGAAATGGAAATTTACAAACTGCATGAAATAGAATTCAAAATAAATGAATTTAAAGAAACTCAGATACAATAGGATACAGACAGACAAGTCAATGACATTAGGAAAACAATCATGATATAAATGAGAAATTCAACAGATAAATATCATAATAAAGAACCAAAAAGAAATCCTGGAGCTGAAAAATTGAATGAATAAAATTTCAATACTGAGAGCTTCAACAGATTAGATCAAGGAGATGAAAGAATCTGTAGACTTGAAGACATGTCTCTTGAAATAGCCCAGTCAGAGGAAAAATAAACAATAAAAGAAGTCAAGACAGTCTACAGGATTTATGACATACCATTAAATGAACAAATATTCCCATCATGAATTCCAGAAAGAGACAGAGAAAGGCACAGATGTCTTATTTAATGAAATATTTGCTGAAAGTTTCCCAAGTCTTAGGAGAGACATGGACATCCAGATCCATGAAACTCAAAAGTACCAAACAGGTTCAACACAGAGGTCTTCACCAAGGCACATTATAATCAAAATTTCAAAAGAATTTTAAAAGCAGCAAGACAAAAGCATCAAGCATCATCATACAAGGGAATCTCCAGTAGACTATTAGTGGATTGCTCAGGAGAAACCTTGCAGGCCAGGAGAGAATGAGATGATATATTCAAAGCACTAAAAGAAAAAAGTCTACCAGATAAGAATGTCATAAACAGCAAAACTGTCCTTTAGAAATGAAGAATAGAGTTTTTCCCAGACAAGCAAGAGCTGAGGGAATTAAGGGAATTCATCACCACTAGACCTGCTTTACAAAAAATGCTTAAGAGAGTTCTTCAATCAGAAATAGAAGTGCGGGGACAAAACTCCGGCGACAGGGAGTGACACAAATAAACCCCTGGACCCTCGTTCCCCCAGCTCTAAGGGCCGCGATGTTGTACCTAGAGGACTATCTGGAAATGACTGAGCAGCTTCCAATGGACCTGCGGGACCGCTTCACCGAGATGCGCGAGATGGATCTGCAGGTGCAAAATGCAATGGATCAGCTGGAACAAAGAGTCAGTGAATTCTTTATGAATGCAAAGAAAAATAAACCTGAGTGGAGAGAAGAACAAATGGCATCCATCAAAAAAGACTACTATAAAGCCTTGGAAGATGCAGATGAGAAGGTGCAGTTGGCAAACCAGATATATGACTTGCAACACCTTTAAAAGATTGAAATCACCAAGAAGACAGATACAATATGCAATATTTCTCTAATAGATGTAATTATGGTGCTCTTTTTGTTTTTTTATGTGAAGCATCTTCTAAAATGCGTACTTTAGGAAATATTCTGTTTTTGCCTTAAAGGAAGTTAAAGCAGAAAACAAATGCTCACTTTTGGTTAACTTTAGTATATAGAGTTCATTTCTTATTTGTGCAGTCTTTCCTGGGTATGGCTTTATTACTGAACAAGTACATATAAATAAAATGTCATTGGTTGAGCAGGACACAAGATAAAATGTATATGCCTCATATGGTATAAATTATAAATACTCATACCAAACTAGAAAACATTTGTCATGTAAAGCCATTGAAAATGTTTAGTTGTCTTTATATAGTGAAAATATCTTAATGACTATAATAACGTAGGCTCTTTATTCTAGAAAACATTTTGTAAAAGACACGGCCTAAAGAAAGGTATAGTAGGCTGTAGCTTGATTTACTGTGTAATAAACAAATAAGAAGTTTTTAATTGTGTTAGTCTTGAGTTATGTCTGTAAACGTAGAAAAAGGCATTTATGTTTGAATCTAAGACAAATTTGTTTAATAACATTCTTACTCCTGTTTAATGACTATGTATCAGTCTTTATTTAGAAACTACATGCTTTTTAATTCATATAGGTCTTTGGTTCTATCTTTGTTTTTTTGTTGTCATTTTATTACTTTTTATACCTTTACTAAAGATAATTTGTGTATTTAAAGCAAAACAACATAAATATATGCTTTTTAAATATGTGTAAAAAAAAGAAATAGAAGTACAATAACAACTATCATGAAATCATATTAAAGTAAAAAACTCAGCGATAGAGGTAAATACAAACTCAAATTCAGAACACTCCATCACTGTAATGGTGGTGTGTAAACCTTTCAAATATCTAGGATGAAGATAAAAAGTCAAAATATACAAGATAACTATAGCTTGTTATACACAATATAAAAAGATGTAAATTGAGGCAAAAATATAATTGTGGGAAGGAGGGTAAAAGTCTAGAATACTGTATAGGACCCAAGTTAAGTTGTTATCACTTAAAATAGTCTATTATAACTATAAGATGTTTTCTTCAAGCCTCATGATAACCACAAAGGAAAAAACTACAGCAGATACACAAACAAGAAAGCTTAGCACTACAGAAAATCACCAAATTACAAAGGGACACAACGAGAGAGGAAGAAAGGACCTACAAAACAACTAGAAAACAATTAACAAAATGGCAAGAGTCAAGTGCTTACCTATCAATAACAATCTTGAATAAATACTGAGCTCTCCAATCAAAAGACGTAGAATGGCTGAATGGATAAAACAAGAAAATCCAACTTCATGCTGCCTACGAGAGGCCTTATTTAGGCTATAAGGACACACATAGGCTGAAAGCAAAAGGAAAGAAGAAGATATCCATATAAATAGTAACTGAAAGAGAATAGGCAAGGATATATAGCTGCAACATCCCTAATCTGAAAGTTTGAAATCCAAATCTCCAAAATCTGAAACTTTTTGAGCACCACTATGGTGCTCAAAAGAAATACTCGTTGGAGCATTTTGGATTTCAGATTTTCAGATTTAGGGATGTTCAATCTCTACTGAATGATCTCTATGGTCTATGAATGTATGTGGAATCTAAAAAAAAAAAAAAAGGTAAAATATACAGAGATAAAGGATAAAACATTGGTTACTAGAGGTGGACATGGGAGGGTGAAAAAATGGGGAGATGTAGGTCAAAAAACACTAAGTAATAGATATGTAGGGTAAGCAAGTCTCAAGATCTAATGTTCAACATAATGACTATAGTATTGCCTTAGGGATTTTTGTTAAGTAGATTGTAGCTGTTATTGTCAAAAAAAGGTAACTGTGATATGATCACATAGTTAATTTGCTTTACTATATTAAACATTTTACTATCTATATATAGCCTATCAGGGTCTTGCATTTATTGCATGCATTAAAATAATTACCTAAGTTGAAAAATGGGTTGACTGCCTGCTGGACCTCAAAAGCCAGGCTTGCAACCACAGTATAATGCTGCCACCATAAAAATATTTCCGAAGGAATATATTCCTTCAGGATATACAAAGTTGCACCATACTAGAAACTAGGATTATCCATCAAATAATACAGTCATGTGTCACATAATGACATCTTGGTCAATGACAGCATATACAATGGTGGTCTCAGAAGATTATAATATCATTATTTATACTGTACCTTTTCTATGTTTAGATACACAAATACTTACCATTGTGTAACAGCTGCCTACAGTGCTCAGCACTACAGCACACTGTGCAGGTTTGTAGCCTCAGAGCAATACACTACAACATATAGCTTAGGTGTGTAGTGGGTCTGCTGAAGCATACTATGATGTTCGTGTAAGGGCAAAGCTGCCTAACGATGCATTTATCAGAATGTGTCTCCATAGTTAAAATGATGCATGACTGCAGCTGTAAAATCTGTCATATCTGAGATAGACCTATCATTAAAGGGGAGAAATATATATATACAGAGAAAAAATTTTTACAGTGGTTTTACATGGCTTAGAGAACAAAGACTTTTAAGAGGATTTTCTTGAACTGTATAATAATTATGTAAATGTCCTTGCAAGAGTGTTAGATGGGCCTAATAAGGCCTAATGCAACCTTCTGGTAGTGGAGAGGCTGACTCCAGTGGTCATGTAAGGAAACAGAACCATGCCACCATGCAGGTGTATAGCTGCACAGTAAAAAAAAATATATGATATAATGAAGACTGTAGAACATTCGCTCTTAGCTGAATCACTGCTTGACATACTTTGTAAAATGCTTGTGTGCTTGCTGAAATATAAACTCTAAGAGTGCTTCCAGAGCTACTTCCCCTCCCTCCTCTCCTTTGCCACCACCACGATGACTACCACCACCTGTGAAACTTCTCTTCCTACTGCTCAGGGGAAATTAGTTTAATGCTAGGAAGATCATTAGAGGAGTAACTTTGAAATAGGGGACCTAAGTATAAGCGGGATGCTGATTTTTTTATGATGTTTGTTAATCCTTTGATGTTAAACATCTTGCAGAGATCTGTGGGATTACACTAATGTCCAGTCCCACATCTGATGCAGGGAGCATGGTTCCAAATTGAGCTCATAGCGTGTCTGTTTAAGTGAATAAGACTGACTGGATGGCAAGACTAAGGATAGGAACATTCTGAAGTAGCCAGAAAGGGGGAGTCTGAACATTCTAGAGGAAACCTCACAGGCCTGTATGGGAGGTCTGAAGAATGAGACAAAGACAGAAATAAAAATGAAATACATAATAAAGAGGGAACTCATTATATTCAAAGTATAGACCTAACCAAGAAACAGACTTCAAAGATATGTTGCCTGAATTGACATTAAGAAATATGTAGACTGGGCTTTATACTATAAGAAGATGAAAAGGTAAACTTACAGATCTCTACTTACAGAGGCAGAAATGTAATCCAGGGATGTCAACGAGAAGATAAATACATGAGACAGTAAACCCAACAGATAACATACATGGCTACTGCATGAACAAGGACATGTTTCTACCAGCTCTGGGAAAGTGGTTATGATATTGGCAAGTGAGCAGGGCAATGGGAAACAACTATAAAAAGGAAGCCTGTTTGTGAAACTGCTCTTTAGAAAACCATTATAACAAGATGTATCTAAAACCACATTTTAATGTATTTTGGGGCCACATTTCAGTCCACCAAGAGCAGATTTCAGGAAAGAAACATAATGAAAAAACTCATGCTTTGAGTTCTCTGAGATACATTAACTGGCTGCTGGAAGCATAACATTCTGAGTCAATCAAGTGATTAGAACCCACCTCACTGGAGAAAAGGAAACAACTCCCTTTGATAAATGTACTAAGTATCCCACGTGCCAATCACGAAAACACAAACAAAGACACAGCCCAGCGACCCTACCTCAGACGAATAAAAATAGCACAAAGAGGCAAGTGAACTGTATAGTTCTGCCAAGACAGAGCCTGTGCTTGCACACTGACGGGAGTGGATAAGAAGTAGCTGACCCAGTCTCCAAGACTACAGGACATCACGTAATCAACGCCATGCAGACTGCTACTATCATATACTTTGATGCCCCCCATGTCATTCTGCTTAATGGACCACATTTTAAAGATAAGGCTGATCTGAATTAAGCATAAAGCTCATCATATTTAATGGATATATTACTATTCCAACCACTTTCATGAACCATGTGGAATGCTGGAATAGAATATTAAAGATTAACCTAAAGACGATGAGGGGGCAATGGCCCTTAAAGCTTGCAACTGCAATACTATAGCTGAACACAGGAACGATAGCAGTAGATTTATGAGGAGGAAACTGAATGAAAAAGAACACAAAGGGAATTTCACACCGATTCATCCTGATACAGTCTCTGATCACTGCGCAAATCAGCATGGGTTAGGTGTTCCTGTTTCCAGTGCTGATGATATAACCCCAGTAGAACAAAACCAGGTTGTTCCCAACTGCTGTGTAAGTATGCCACCAAAAATAGGCTCAAAACTATTTTCCAGATCAGGTTAAGTTTAAAAGGGATTTGAAAACCAAAGTCCAACACGTTTGGGTGATGTATATATTTTCTTTTATTCTTCTTTTATTATTATTATTTTAATAAAGAAGTTATTTATGTTTTTTTTAATTTCAAAATATTAAGGGGCTACAAATGTTTTTGTTACATGGATACCTAGTACAGGCTCAAGTCAAGGCTTTTAGTGTGCTCATCACCTGAATAGTGTTCACTGTACCCAACAGGTAAGTTTTACCCCTTGTCCCTCCTAGATCCCCCCATTTTTGGTTTCCAATGTCCGTTGCATCTCTTTGTGCCCATGTGTACGCATTGATTAGTTTCAAATTATTAGAGTACATGTGGTATTTCTTTTCCATTCCTGAGGTACTTCACTTAGGATAATAATCTCCAGTTCCATCCAAGTTACTGCAAAAGACATTATTTCATTCCTTTCCATAGCTGAGTAGTACTCCATAGTATGTATGTGTACATACACTCCACATTTTATTAATCCACTCATGAACTGATGGGCACTTAGGTTGATTCCACATCTTTGCAATTGTGAATTGTACTGCGATAAACTTTTAAGTGTGGGTTTATTTTTTATAAAATAACTTCTTTTCCTTTGGGTAGATACCCGGTAGTGGGATTGCTGGATCAAATGGTAAGTCTACATTTATTTCTTTTAAGAATCTCCATATTGTTTTCCATAGAGGTTGTACTAATTTGCAGTCCCATCAACAGTGTATAAGCACTCCTTACTCTCTGCATCCATGCCAACATCTATTGTTTTTTGGCTTTTTAATAATGGCCATTCTAACAAGGGTAAGGTAGTATCTATCTCATTGTGGTTTTACTTTGCATTTCCCTCATGATTAGTGATGTTTAGTATTTTTTTCATATGTTTCTTGCCATTTGTCTATCTTCTTTTGAAAAACATTTGTTCATGTCTTTTGCTCACTTTTTGATGGGGTTGTTTTTTTCTTGCTGCTTTTGAGTTCTTTATAGATTCTGGATATTAGTCCTTTGCTAGATATATAGTTTGTAAATATATTTTCCTATTCTTAGAATATCTATTCACTCTGTTGATTATTTCCTTTGCTGTGCAGAAGCTTTTACATTTAATGAAGTCCCATTTATTTATTTTTGTTGTTGCTGTATTTGCCTTTGAGGTCTCAGTCATAATTTCTTTGCCTAGGCCAATGTCTAGAAGAGTTTTTCCTATGTTTTCTGCTAGAATTTTTATGGTTTCTTGGCTTAGATTTAAGCCTTTTACCCATATTAAATTAATTTTTGTATATGGTGAGAGACAGGGGTCCTGTTTCGTTCTTCTACATGTGGCTATCCAATATTCCCATTATTATCTATTGAATAGGACTTCCTTTCCCCAGTGTATGTTGTGTTGTTGTCTGCTTTGCCAAAGATCAGTTGATTGCAGGTAGATTGATTTAGTTTTCTGAGACAGAGTCATGACTTTGTTTTCCAGGCTAGAGTGTAGGGGTGTCAAACTCCTGGCCTCAGGCAATTCTCCTGCCTTAGCCTCCCAAGTAGCTGGGACTACAAGCAGGCACACCCAGCTGAATTTTCTATGTTTTGTAGAGATGTGCTCTTGCTCTTGCTCAGGCTGGTCTCAAACTCCTGGCCTCAAGCAATCCTTCTACCTCAGCCTCCCAGAGATCTAGGATTACAGGTATGAGCCACCAGGCCCAGGTGGTAGATGGTTTCATTTCTAGGTTTTCTATTTTGTTCCACTGGTCTATGCCTCTACTTTTATACCTATACCATGCTGCTTTGGTTACTATAGCCATGTCATATATATTGAAGTCAGGTAGTGTGATTTCTCCAGATTTGTTATTTTTGCTTAAGATTGCTTTAACTATTTAGCTATTTTTGGTTTCAAATGAAGCTTAGGATTATTTTCTCTAGATCTGTGAAATATGACATTGGTATTTTGATGGCTATTGCATTGAATCTGTAAATTACTTTTGGCAGTACGGACATTTCAATGATATTAATTCTATTAATCCATGAGAAGGGGAAGTTCTAAAACACATTTTCTGATTTAAAAAAACCTGTTAAAATTAGAGATCTATATATCCTTACTATTAACATTTTACCACACATAATGCTTTAATGAAGCATTTCCATTAAAGACAGGAAGTAAATAATATCCCCATTATTATTTAATATTGTCCTAGAGTTTCTTGCCAATGCCCACAAGAAACAAAATGGTAATAAAAGGCACAACTTACAAAAAGAAAGGAAATTGCATAATAATAAAGACTTCTATAATGGGAAGACTCAGGTTCAAATACCTGGTCTGCTATTACTGGAAATGTGATTTCATATAACTGTTTTATTCTTTCTATATGTGTTTTGTAAAGTTGTACGGATTAAACAAAGCAATATATATACACTTGACCTTTAAACAACACAGGTTTGAACTGCGCAGGTCCTTTCAATACAGGGATTTTCCTTTGCCTTTGCCACCCCTGAGACAGCAAGTTAACCCCACCTCTTCCCCCTCCTCCTCAGCCTGCACAACGTAGACAATGACGATGAAGACCTTTATGACGACCCTCTTCCGCTTAAGGAATTTTAAATATATTTCCTCTTCCTTACAATTTTCTTAATATTTTCTTTTCTTTAGCTTTATTGTTTAAGAATACAGTATATGATACATGTAACATAAAAGTTTGTGTTAACTGATTGTTCATGCTATCAGTAAAGCTTCTGGTCAACAGTAGGCTATTAGTAGGGACGTTTTTGGAAAGTCAAAAGTATATGTGAATTTTTGTGTGTATGTGTGGGGGGGGGTCAGTGTCCCAATCCATGTGTTGTTTAAGGGTCAACAATACAAAGATTATAATGTATAAATAAACTATAGGAATTACTATATTACAATAAACTATAGGAATTACTGTTAATATGATGTATATCATGACTACTTGCCAGTGATATAACTGCACGCTAGAAACCCAGAAAATTAACTGAAAATTGGTAGAATAGGAAAACTCACTGCATAAGATATAAGCGAAAACCCAAAATTTCTCTAAATATTAACAATATTCTGTTACAAAGAAACATTTTAAAAATAGAAGTGAAATTATTAACTACATAGAAATAACCTATATAAGAAATATAACAGGTATGTGTAAAAAGTGATCAAAATTGTATAAGGGATATAAGAGAAACAATGAGAAAGAAACATGTAGAAATTTAACATGTTCCTGTATAAAAACTATTATAAACATGTCAGTTCTTAAGTTAGTTTGCAGGTTTAATATAATTCTAATCAAAATTCCAATAGGATTTTTTGAAAAATGGAATAAAAATTACCCTAAAATTTATCTGGTAAAGCAAAAGAAAGCAAATAATTAAGAAAAACAAATTTAAGAAAGGAGTAAAGGGGAAATGAAGAAAGAATTCTATTAGAAATTAAAGTATATTCTATATCTACAATTACTAATAAAGTGAGTCACTATAATAGCATAGCAAAAGAGAAAGCCCACAGAAAAATACAGCTTGATACATATATGCTATAGATCCATTCACTGGTATGTATAAGAATTTAATAAATCTTAAAGGTAGCATTATAAATCAGTGGCAAAAGGAAGATGTAGTTATTAAATGATACTAGGATTTTGATTAGCTACTTGGCAATAAGTAAATAAAAAATTTAAAAATAAATAAACTAGGTTCTCACCTCAAAGTAAACACTCAACTAATTTCCATATATATCACACTTAAACATGCATGAGAGAAAGACCTACACAGAGAGACACAGAGAGAGGTAGAGAAGGGCAAGAGGGCAAGATGACGAGACGGCAAGAGGGCAGGGAGAATGAGAATAAAAAAACAAAAGAAAAGAATGACAAAACTGTAACGCTGATGTACTACCAAGGAAGAGATAGAACATCAACAAGACCAAGATTAAGAATCAGGAGTGACTCTTACATGCTCTTCCCACACTTTCTTTTCTCTCTCATATGCTTCCTTTCTCTTTCGCTCTAGTTGTTCTTTTAGAACGGCAGCACGTGCATTTGCTCGGGCCTGAAAATAAAAACAATCAACAAAATTAGTTACCAGAAAGAAGGTCATAGGGTTTTTTCTTTCCATGCCTATAAAGATATTTACTTATTAGCCAAAAAGGAACTGTGTGTGTGGTTCCAGAATAAAAATGTAAGCTCACTCTATATCCTAGCATCTAAAACCAGGCCCAACACAAAGTACGTGCTCAATAAATATTTGTTAAGTGAAAACAAAAATTAAAACAATAATTATACATGGATTTCATTTATATTTATAGAAATGACTATGTGTATATTTTTCATTTTTAAGGTTGCTATATTTTCTTTTTAAGATTATGTGATAGTTTCATGTATTTATGCCATGGTTTCATCAAATTATTCTTCATAAATATGATATAAAGAAAGAAAATACTATTTTTTATAATCCAAAAAGTGACAGAGGAGAAAGAAAAATTAAAGCAAGAGAATAAAGTCACTTAGCTATGTGAAAAGTAAGAACACAATTTTCTATTTCAGCTTCAAATTGTCTCTAAGAAAATCTTTGTCATTTCCAGTCTATACCTTAAGTGATTCAACTTTTTTGCGCCTCGAGTCAGCCTCTTCACTTCCTTCTTGTCCTTCGGAACTATCAGCTCCTTTCTACAAAGTAAGCAAGCACATCACTTAGGATAGAGCCATCAAACTCAGTGCAGAGCTTCGTGAAAGATAATATAAATCAACAAAAATCTACAAATGTAAAATGGGACATCATTCAATGCTGTTAATTTTCTCTCAAAGCTGCAACTGAACTCTCCACAATTACCAACCTTTATGGACAATGGAACAAAAAAAAAAACGAATGATGTAAAGCACACTTTAATCCTTCCATGGATACCAGTTATATCTTCCTCTTAGAATTCCTGTGGAACAAATGGGCTTTTCAATTTTAAATCATGTAAATATTTGCTTTATCCCTATGTGTAGTTTTCTGGTCTTTGAACTCGCAATGTCTCCATCAGTTTTTATTTTTTTGTTAGTGTCACAGAATTTTTAATCTTAATCTATTATAATATCATTCCTTTTTTAAAAATTGGTTTTTAACCTACTTTTTCACCACGAAGTTTAGCTTTAATTTGTTGGCGCTCATTGAAATTCTGTAGTCTTATTTGCCTCAGTCTTGCCAGGTAAACCTACAAAGAGAAAAAAAACAACTCAAAATAATAATTTAAAAGGGAAACCATCAACAACTTTACTGCTAAAATTTTTTTTTAATTTAAGAAAAAGTGTTAATCTGAATATAAGAAATAAAAGTCTTGAAATCTGGTTAATGGAAATATAATATTAGCTTTCAAGTGTTTAATTTAGAGCAATTTATTTCTGAAAAGAAATACATTATAATTACAAATATTTAATTTTATCAAAAGAAAAGAAATTGAACTCAGAATACCGAATAGCAGTTATGGGGCAAAATTATGACACAGTATGTCAGTGAAAATATATTAACAGGTCCCTATAGACCTACAAAATCTTCAAATAATTGTTAAGAATTTAAACCATGCAAGAAAAGAAGGCAATAAACTCAAAAATGGCTGTGGCGGAGGTGGCGAGCATGCGGGAAGCATACCTCTTCCTCTTTGTTTCTCGGCTTCCCTCCTCTTGCAGAGCTGGGCCTGCCTCCATACATAGCTGCCAGGTTTTGCAGGATTCCCTGTTTATCATTTAATGTACTAAGTTTAAAGAATGACTAAGGCTACATCATCATCTTACCCAGGAGGATCCAGGCGCTGCTTTATTTCTTTTGGCAAATACTGACCATTGCTAGCTGATAAACTATGATAACAAACCCTGGCGTTTTCTTGTATCAATCTGACAAACATATTCAATGAGAACAGAAGGAAGCAATTAAACCCCAATTATTCAAAACAGAGAACAGTTATGCTTTTATTAGCCATTTAAATAAAGAGGTTTTTACAACGGCTTTGGGGGTTATGAAAAACTAAATTTTTCCTCTACAAAGGGCCAATTGATTTCTACATGTGTCTATTTTCACACTATACACATAGTAAAATATTTGAGCTCACTGTTTCTGAATTCAACAAATGTGCTGTATATTAATTATAAGATCTCAATCAAATTCACTCAGGCATGTCCTGTTACTACACTGCACACGATCATACCCAACACAAACCGACTCATTTTTAACATAGTTAATCCACTTTCTCTTCCTCCAGCATACAAACAAGCATGCTTCCAGTTCTTCTCAACTTAAAAAAATTCTTGGTCCCACTTCCCTGTCTAATGCCTTTATTTATTTTCTTAACCCTTTGCACTCACTTGCTTTTTTCTTGATTCCTTTATTCTACTCAGGATTTAATTTTTTAAATACCCCAGATTTTACAAAGCGTGGCAGTAGAATAAAAAAACTGGAGTTTCTTTTCATACAAACTTATTTATTTGGATTTTTTTATATTTCAAATTACTGATACATTCAAAGAGTAATTTTAATCTCTATAATTTTTGCTAACTGTGTTGCCGAGTACAAAGGGTTAATGGTTTTAATTTTTTTTGCATTTAAAAAAATTTCAATAGACTCAGGGGGTTCAAGTGTCTTTTGTCCCATGGATGAACTGTATCATGCTGTTGTCAGGGCTTTGAGTGTACCTGTCACCAGAATAGTGTACCAGATTCGTAATTTTTTATTCCTCACCACCTCCCCTTCTTTGTCAGCATTTTGAAAAGGTACTTTTTATATTCATCATCTCCATTTTCTGCTTTCCATTCTTTTTTTTTTTAATTAATTAATTTATTTTTTTCCCAAATTCTGTGGGTACAAATATTGTTAGGGTTACATATCTTGCCCCTGCCCCCCTCCCACCCGGCTCTGCCAGAGCTTCAAGCGTGTCCAGTCTTCAAGTGGTGCGCCCTGCACCCATCATGAAAGTACGTACCCTTCCCCTTCTCCCCTTCCACCTGTTCACCTCCCATTAACAAAAAAATTTTTTTTTAGACATTTTGGTTACAGTGTGTTTCTCTGCCTCTCCCTAAAAAGGGATAGAGGTAATCCATTCTTTTTTTAACCCTAGTTTCTGATCCCATTATGACTCTGAAAATTTTCTAAAGTCACCAATGACCTCCTAGTTCATAAATGAAATGGATCCTTTTGAGCAATTTTTGCACTTAACATTTCCTCTAGAAATTAATTTTGACGGAACCCACTTAATTTACATAGGTATTTTTTCTCTTACAATAATATACATTCATTATGGAAATTTTATAAAATAAAGAAATATGAAACATTTATAATTCTGTCACCTGAGAAACTTAAAATTGTAAGGTATTGTCTTCTAAATTTCCTTCTATCATATGTATAAATATATTCATGTTTATTGTTACAAAACTGGGATTTTACTAGTTATCCTGACTTTTTTCAATTATATCCTGAGTCTCTTCCCTCATTCATTCAGTATTCCTTAAAAACATTATATACTATATGACTATATACTGTTTATAACATTCTCCCATATATATATAAATGTACCATAATTTACCTATCTTTAAAAATGTCTCTCTTCTCTTTCATTATTTATAACGGCCCCCTCTCCTTGGTTCTTCCAATCATCACCATTTTTCACAGGCTTTTCCCTTCCTTGGCTGGTTGATAAATGTCAGTATTGTCTGGAGTTTTACTTCCTGCTCCCCTTTCTCCTCTCATTCCAGACTTTAACATGTGTTGCCAGTTCCCAAATCTAAACCAACCTGGTAGCCTCTTTCTCTTGAATTACAGGCCTCTGTGTATAATAAACTGACACCTGGGCAACTCCACTCTTAAGCAGCAAAGCTACCTCAAACAAACAGGTTATTAATCTTACTTTATCATTCTATTTACTACATGGTCTTATTCCTAGCTTAGTTCTTGATCAAAATCAGCCGCCCAAGTCAGCAAGCTGGGAGTTATCTTTGCCTCTCTCTTATCTACCACATTAAAATGAAGGCCAAATTACAAATTCTATCTCCTGATAACTCTATCTGCTTCTAGTTTCTGCCTTGGCTCAGGTTCTCTTGACTCATAGATTTCCAAAAGATCTTCCTAACTTTTTTTCTCCCTTGCCCCAAGAGCTTCCTAACTTATTTTACCGTTAGTCTCATATCTTCCGAGTCTATTCTTTACAATGCACTCAGAATAACCTTTCTAAAATTCTCTTTCAGATCAAACCCCACATAAACCCTTCAATGGTTTCCATGATCTTCACACTTTAATCCACATTCTGTTGAATGGCAGATAAGGCCATCTGTGATCTAGTATCATCTCTCCACTGCTCAAACATAAATCCTGCATTCCAGCCATGACACCTGCTTATGGTTTATGGGCCACGATCTCATTCATCATCTTAAGATGGCTAACTCTACTTATCTTCCAAAACTCGAATCACACATATCACCCACGAAAGCCTTGCTAAAAGCTTTCTCCAGTGAGTTAAGTGTGCCTCCTCTTACCCACCATACCATCCACCCTTTATATGTACCTGTCACAGAAGCACTCATCAGAGCGCATCATAACGGTGGCAGCGCAGTCCGTGACAGTTATGAACATGGACTACAGACTCTGAAGTCTGTCAGTTCATGTTTTTGTCAATGCCACATATATACCAATGACCTTAAGCAAAACGTCTTACACTTGCTCTAAGTCTGAGCATATTACCACCTACTTCATCGGTGTGCCAGAACAAAAAAGTATTACTATATACACATGCACCCTGCCATTCTTCTCTTCCAGCCTGACAAAAGGCTTTTGCTCACTCATTTCCTTCCCTCTTCAAGGAGGTCCTTGCATTAGCTTATCAGTTATTTGAGCTTTGGGGATATACAGCAGTCAGAAGGTTGGGGAAGTGAAGGAAAGTAAGAAATAAGCAGCACTAGGCAAAGATGCGACATGAATTCTGAAAAGACGTATGGGTGTATCTACAAAGTTATAGAAGCATGGTGATAAACTGAGTATGGCTAAAGACTCTTCTTCCTTTTGTGGTATTTGAGAAATATTATATAAGAATTTGAGTTACTTGGAAGTTTTTTAAAGAAAACTTTGTAGTTGGAAATATTATACAGATTCACAGAAAGGTGAAAAGAAATGTCTCATGCATTCCTCATACAGCCTCTGCTGATTTCACCATCGTGTATAACTATAGCACGCTATCGAAACCAGGACACTGAAACTGACACAAATCATAGCATTTCACCAGCTACACACGCACACAACTGCGTCTGTGTCCCTATACAATTTTATCATGTATAGTCTTATGTAAGCATAACATAATCAAGACAATTAACTGTGCCATTACCATAACACTTCATAGCCACATTCAGCTCCCTCCCTAACCCCTGCCAACCACTATTCTCCATCTTTGTAATTATATTTTATAAATTTTACACATATGGACTCATATATATACACTTTTGAGATTGACTGATTCAACTCAATATAATTACATTGTGATCCATCCAAGGTATTGCATGCATCAATGGTTCATTCTTTTTCATTGCTGGGCAGTATTTCTTGGTATGATGAAGTCTGGTTTATTAAGTTTCCCTTTTTACATAAATGCTCTTGGTGTCAAATCCAAGAACTCTTTGCCTTCTCTTAGGCCTGCAGATTTTCTTCTGTCTTTTACTAGACAGTCTACAATTTTATATTAAAGACTATGATCTGTTTTGAGTTAATTATTTTATAAGGTTTAGGTCAAGGTTTTTTTTGGTCTGCAGATGTCCAGTCTTTCCAGCAATAAGATTGAAAAGGCTATTCCTCTTCCATTAAATTGCTTTTGCTTATTTGTCAATAACCCAGGAGACATATTTATGTGGATCTATTTTGGGGTTCTCCATACTGTTCTACTCATGTGTGTGGCTATTCCTTCACCAGTACTCACACTGTTCTACTGATGTGTGTAGCTATTCCTTCACCGGTACTCACTGTTTCGATTAGTGAAGCTCTCAGCCTTAAAATCAGGAAGGGTGATTCTTCCCACTTTCTTCTTCGTAATTGTTTTGGCTATTTTAAAGCCTTTCACCTTCCACACAAATTTTAGAATGCTTGTCTGTCTCTGTCTCTGTCTGTCTCTCTCTATATATAAACTTTTCTGAGATTTTAATAGGAATTACATTAAGCCTACATATCAATTTAAAAGAATTGCCATTTTTACTATGTTGAGTTTCCCAATTCATAAATATTGCACCTCTCCAAGTGTTTAGGTCTTAGAATTCTTTCGTAGACATTTTGTCATCTTATTTGCACAAATCTTGTGTATGTTTTATTTGTTGTTTTCATTTTCTTTGGAGCAACTATAAATGGTATTGCGTTTGTTCTATCAGTTTCTACTTGCTCATTGTCAATATATATTTATTTTTGGGTATTAATTTCTTTTTCAACAGCTTGTTAATCACAAATTCCATTTTAAAAATAGTTATAGGGTTACAAGATATCTATTTCCATCTGGCTAAGTTTTGATAAGTTTGTGGGTTTTGAAGAATTGGTTAATTACCTGTCAGTTGTTACATTTATAAGTATAAAATTGTGTTATTACCCTTTAATTGCTATAAGAGCTGTAGTGATATCTTTTGTTTCATTCTTAACACCTTTTGTACTGCTCACAAGTTTTCTTGTGTTTTGCGCGACATCTGTTAAGGACCTTAGACTATGTCAACACACTGTCTTGT